TTAATAACTTGTCTAGATATTTTAATGAAAAAAAAATTGATTTATGAAATAAATATTCACTAAAAAATTCCATTAAAGAAAAACAATACATAATCATTGAATCAAGCACAATTGATGGACTATAAAAATATTTTTTCTATCAGAATTTCTTTGTCCATGTGGCCTATTGTTATGCACATAAATACAAAGGTATATTTGTGACTGGATAAATTTATGCTTTAACACAATTTGATTTATGGTGATAGATCAGAATAAAATCAATGGACATTTTAGTTTGAAATTTAATTGAATTGTAAAACATCAAATATTTTTTTGTGGAATTCTTTTACAATGCATTGGCAAACGAAGATTTCTAATTTTGTCACTGAAAGAGAGCTAAATTCGCCTTTCAAATGAATCTCGAGAGACTTTAGTGGTCTTATGACCGAAGGTAGCCTCTAGAATAATCTCTTGAGGAAGGAAATCATGATGGAAATAGCAATGAAGAAATACAGGATGAAAGACGAAGATGTGAATTTGGAGTAGACTTCTTCTTCATTCTATTGGAATGAAAGTCCAACTTTCTGGGAAAGATCTTATCGCTTTCATAAATTGAACTAAAAGTAATTGAACTCAACTCAAAAGTCAGGAATAAAATTTGTAACAAGATGTAATTAAACCCAAAACTTATAACGTAAGTTTTACCCAACTTAGAAAAATGATGGGACATAAAAAAAAGTGAGGCTTCACAAAGTAATAAACTTTTTTATCTCCAGTATTCCTTTTAACATGACTCTGGTACCCAGTAGTTTGGGTCTGGAAATCGTATCTAATGATAAGATTGTCTACAAAGAGCATGAAAATAAGGATACAAAGCCAGTGGAAACTTTAAATAGAGAATCATGAGAAGGTTGATGGTGCTTATCAACCAATTGGATCTTATTTCAGCTGCTATTTAGCTATAGGACTTGACTAGAATTTCGACAATGCTCATTTCGTTGGCTATAGGTACCTTGACACTATGTGCCCGCGGCTACGCGCTTCATCGATTCACATCCTCCCTATATGTGCATATTCTCCTACCATTAAACTTTCATCTCTCTCTGATTCAAGCGATTACATTCGCAATCAGATATATCCCCTGGTGCCAAATTCAGTAGAGATTAAATATCACTCTGGGATGTCGCACGTTTCAACGGATTCGTTGGAATTTTTTCCATACCCTTAATCACTTTTCAAGTGATAGGTTTGTATTCACACTTTCGAAATAAAGCATCAGAAGATCCAGGTTTTTCTATTCTTAATATTTTTCGTTGAATTTTTTTAAACGCTGGATATGATTGAATAATCACTTTTTTATTTGAAGAGACAATTTGTTTTATCGAGAAAAATGTAATTGATTGCTCTGATTTTTAAAACTAAATCTTTTTTATTTGGTGAGAATTAAAGTTTGGTTTAAATAGAAAAAAAATTTTTTATTTTCAAATAAATTGTTATCTCAATATTTTAACAAGTACTAAATTTATTGAAACACTTAATTGCATTGCAAATGAATAATGTAATGATATAATAGTATCTATAATTTATGAACTGATTTTTCATTTATAAAGTGAAAGAGAAGTAATTTATTTCCAACAGGATATTTCATGTAGACATCAATTACAAAATGTTTATAATTGCCAAATAAATATTAAAGCACATTTTCAGTTACTATAGAAACTAAATGTGCATTTAATTACATATATAAATAAGAAAATTCAATTATATTTTTTCCTTGATTAAAAATTGAAAAAATACTAAAGTAAATAAAGGAAGAAAAATGATAGATAATTTAAACTAAATTACATATGACTAGGATCCAGTGCTGTTAACTTTTATTTTTTAATTAACGGACGTTATCCATTTGAACTTTACTGCTCAACAAAGTCTTTTTTTTGCCAAGTTAAAAATTATTTATCATCACAGTTACTGTCTTTTAATTCAATTTTTATTCTAAAATAAAAATTATAGAATCCTCCAATGATAGATGACAATTAATTGAGTTGTATTCGATTTCAATATTTTCAAATATTAATGAATGAAAGATAGCTTCTCATAATAACATATAGGAAGGTTAAGTCCAATCAATTTTGATTCTCTAAACATTATATTGTATTAATACAGTTTAGTTTCACCTCATTTAGGAACAAAAACTTGTTGACCAGTATAAATATTCCAATAGTCAACACATTGACTAATTATTCATATTGTTCAGCAACTTCACACATTCCAGGTGGTGAAATCAACTAAATAGACTAATTTCAGCATGGTATTTGTAATAGGAATATTTGGAGTAAAGTTGAATAAATTCAAAATGATATCATTTTGAGAAAGAAGGGTAAATTGTTGAAAAGTTGACGAAGAGTAGCAATAGAAAGGCGTTTAATGCCCTAAAAGTCAGGCCGCTGTTAGAACAGACGAAGAATGATAAAGAGTAGAGAGGGAGACTAACGCAGCTGCACCCTTGGGGCTTCCTACCCTTCTTTTACCTCCCCATTGGCCCACTTACAGCTCGTGTGTTTTTCTAAGTACTATTTTTTCTTTATTTTCTCAATCTCAATGTTGGCCAAAAGCATTTTTGTATGTACTCTTTTTTTCCTGTCCTTCATTTTTTGGTCCATCATTCGCCCCTCATTCCCCCTTTTCCTAACTCGTGTTATCTGTCGTTTATATATAGGAATGCTATCGACAACTCACGATCGTTTTACTGAAATTGAACAATAACAATCACGAAGAAAAATTGTTCAGTGATACCCTTTCGATTTGGGTGTGACGCCACCAGGTCGATATAAAATTGAAAAACGATAAAACGATTAAATGTCTCGCCCACTTGTGTTCTCGACAACTTTCTTGACGACTGTATGTAATATTTTTCATTTTAACTTGTAATAGAAAAAAAAAATTCAGTCAACTCCTTTGATCTTATTCTCTTTTTTCACGAGCCGTTCTTCAGACAATTCTTCTTTATCAGACGTGAAATTCCTATAAATTCAAGAATGCTTGAAATGTAGTATTTATGACATTTTTATTTTGAAAAATCTTTTTATCTTGATTTTTTTTTGATATTAACAAGCTATGTGAGTTATTGAAATATTCGCTATTTTTCTAGTTCTTTAAAACTCTCGTATGTATTTTTTGAAACAGTGTGAAACTCAACTGCCACTAAGAAGAATTATGATTTTATTCTACGACTTCTAAAGTCAATATCTCAGTGAAAAATCAAGTTGGAAACTTCAAGCTTTGATTAAAGTACTCTCTCTACGAGCTTGTACACATCAATAAAGATCATTAGTCTTTCATGATTGACAAATACATTGTAACCTGCCACATTATATTAAAGAATAAAAATTTTTTCATTATTTATTTTTATTTTTCTGGAGTATTGAAAAAAATATTATGTAGCTTCGTTATTAATAACTCTTGAAAAGTAAAAATTAATTAAATCATTTTTATACTCAATTATTTAAAAAGCTATAAATCAATGAGTTGTAATAATTCAATAACACATGTCAACATGATTTTTAAATTTTATTCTCAGGTAATATGAATTTAAAAAACTGCTAAAAACATGTGTTCAGAGGCATACTTGTTTCCGCACATTTTGATACCAACATTTGTGTGGTAACACATTTTCTTCCAACATTTTTTTCACGTTTTACAGCCATTTAAAGTTAGCTCTGCGATTTCATTCCTAAAATCAATATCCAAGTTTCCGGTATACATTTCTCTACAACTATTACACATAAAAATGTGGAAATTGTTCTGGTATTTTTTTAGACAAAAACTCGTTTAATATTGCAACTCAAATTCATAAATTTCTACTTCTATTTAATGTCAGTAGAGACTTGAGATGTAAAAAATAATCAAATTTTTACTATCTCAATAAAAAAGACTCTAAGTATATATTTCACTTGAAACTCTTCCACTAAGTAGGAAAAACGTCAAATAAAATATATTATTTATTTTGGAAAAGTATGTACCGAAAGATTAAAAAAGTGTTGGGAAATTGCATTCATAACTAAGTGAATAAACCGTCAGAGGAAAATACATTATGACTTAAAATATGCAAAATTATGTATCCTTTTAACTGTCTTTTTAGCTAATTCTCTAAGTTTGTAAAACAACATTAATAAAAAAAAATGGTTGAAAATAGTATTATCATATACGTGAAAATGAATTCTGCTGTAATAAAATTTTCTGCATGTAAGAAAAATCATATTTATTTATCAAACGATAATTTATTAAATACTATCAAATTTTCTATCTCAAAGTTGACCTAAAGAACGAATTTTTAACTTCATACTACTTTTTATTCGATTTACTTAAGTAATTCTTTTAACTAAAAGTAACTTCTATATCGATTCTCCTCAATTTATAATTACATTAACTATTCATGCAAGTGGATCAGCTTGAATAAAAAAAAGGTTTAGGAAATAACTGTATGTTATTAGTCATTAAAAAAAAAAGTAAACTTGGTTGATGATAAATATAATAATACTTGAAGTAGACTCATTATGTTGGAGCTGTATCTTTTCTACTGAAAGCTTAGTGAGAAAAAAGTTCTTGTTGACTTAGTCACGCTAATGACTTAGAATTTTTCTGTTTGATTGACTCAATTATTTTTAAGTTTCTTCGTCGTTCGAAAATAAATGCAAATATAAATAGCCATTAGCTCTTCTTAGAAATGACCTCTAGCTACACTATTGTAATAGCTATTTTAGTATAATTATTATTAACTAATGATTATAAAATAGTCGTTCTCGATATTGGAAATCATAATTCTCATCATTTTCTTAATAGCAGAGAACTGTTCTTTATGATTGGGAATTCAGAAATATTGGTTATGAATGTACCAATGATATCGAAAACCAATAAAATTATTTTATGGTCCATGTCTCTGACCTCTCAAGGTTTTATTGATTGACTTTTTCCCTAAATTTTATTCTAGTTTCATAGAGAAGAAAATGTTGAAGTAAACTCACTCGGTCTGATTGTCCTCGAATGTTAGTGACCCTTCAGTGTGCATGTACTGCTTGGAAGGTTTTGCAGTACCTTCAACAGTTTTGTAAGGTAGAATTACTCGTCCTCTAGCTCCACTATATCGTACAACCCTCAAAGGATATTGACCAACACTTTCGACCAATTCAACATCTCGCTCTGGGAAACCGAAGATACCACTGTGGTCATCATCTAAAATCATCACCGTAGCAAGACTGGGAGATACCAACATAGCTGGCTGGGTGACGTTGCTTAGTCTGAAACAAATACACAAATATTTGAGTAGTAAATATGTACATATAGGCCTGATATTATATGAATAAAACGAGGTGGTGAATTATGTTGAATTTGATTTTAATGTCACGCTTTGATGATATGTGTCTAAATATGATCTAGGTAATTTAGAGAAAAACTCATTCATCTTGGATGCAAATAAATTCATGAATGTCAAGTTATCATTTTGAACGGAAATGACTTTCATTCTGATGTTGGATAAACTTTGCATTGAATTTATGATTAATTTAGAAGAATATAGATGTTCGTTTTTAAGTTTTGAATATTTATGTGACAGTCACAAACTTGTTTCGCTATTTATTACCCGTTTTTTTATTCAAAAATCCAAAAGTAAATGAAACTCCGAAAGTATTGGGAACAAAGAAATATTTAGGAAATTTTATTTCCATACAAAAGCCTGTCATAAAAATTTTAAAACCATTCTTGAGTGTAGTTAGATTGAGAAGAGATTGCTTAGTGATCAACAAAATTTGCACATTCAATAAAATGCAAAAAATCATCTAGAAAATTTAGCTCCAATGGATATACTCAATAAATAAAGTTCCAGAGAGCTTATATAGTAAAACCCTAGCTTAAAAACATGAGAAAATTACTTTTTTGTTTTTATTCTAGAAAGGAAAAGGTGTTATAAATTATCCCTTTCATTATCATCATGTTGAAAGTCATTAGCATTATTTTCATATTACAAGTAATAATTGTATAAAAATAATCAACGAAATTCATTTTACCCTTGAGCTTCATTTATCCTTGGTTCATATACTTACATTTTATTTCACCATAGTAAATATAAGTTACTTCTAACTCAAATAATATCTTCTAAAAACTGGACATATCATCAGACAATTTTTTTTCAAAGATAAAAAGTTCAAAATGAGTTGATGATATTGCAGTAGATATCAAATGATTGATAGATTTAACAACCGTTTATCATTGGCATGGTTGAGTTTTTAAATAATCATGCTTCAAAAGTGACAGTTAATTAACTTTAAAAAATCATTACAAGATAAAACTTGAAACCTAGAAACAGAGGAAATTAAATGTGAAAATCGTTGATGAAATACAGTACAGGAGAGGAGGATTTTTTTATTTTCTTCGGACCTGATGAATTTTTCTGATGGTAACTACTGGTACAGAAGTGTCATTTCACTCCACATGAGTGCAGTAACAGACAGATGAAGGTCATTTATGATCAGCACGATGAACGAAGTACACCCGCTCTCTTGACGATTGAATTTCGCATTTAGCAAGTTAATTTACTCTAGCACGTGTACTTCGTTATTTCCATTGGGTCGATTTCTATGTTACTTGGTAATTACTTGGTGGTTGTCGATACGAAAAGTATTATGAAAAGTGTGTCAGTTAAGATGCTATCTAAAAATAAATTAGAACTTTTAATATGAAAATAACTTTAGCCTGATACTATAGGAGATTTAGTAATGGTTTAAATAGTCGTAAATGGTTAGAGAAGCTAAACTAGAATTAGTGATCATGTTATTTGAATCGGATATTCTGTTAATTAATGATTCCTATGTAGTCTTACTGGAAGTTTGTTCAAGTCACTCGAGCATGTTGTGAATTGCCAGTAATACATATACACTAGAAGCTTATATATGTAAAGCTCAAGCAGACAAGTTGCTCCTATTTTGAATGTTAGTTGTCTAATCTGACCATTTCTGAAGCTTATTTCCGTTCAAAGATTCTACATAATTATCGGAAACTTTGATAAGCTGTTTGAAAACTTGGAGATGATGAATAACCGTGAAATTAAACATAGGATTGTTCCAGATTAAAGTATTTGTATCCATCATTTCTTTAATCGGCTAGATTTACGTAAGAAAATTCGATGAAAATTGATATTGAATTAAACTAGTTTATATGGTTTCGTATTTACTGATTTAACCAGTTGACTTGAAAATATATACTCTTGGTGAATTTAGAGTTTGAAGTATAAATAAATTAGCCAAGTTTATTATTCATGGATTAATTATTGGAAGTTTTGATAAGTCTATTTACAGGTTTTTTTTTTGTAGAAACATTCGGATGTTTTGCTGATAATGTATTGAATCAAAATATTTACTTGGAACAGCATTCCTGATATTATTAAAGTTGAAATAATAAAGACACACTTTTCAGAATTTCGTTAAACCTATATTTTGGTACTTATATTATATAAGAAGATATTTGAACTTGCTTTTTTTCTTGTTTTCAAGCACTTTTACTTGTTTTATTTTACATTCGTGGTGGAAGAATAGCAATCTTTCAATGATAAAATTTTTTTACTCCATTACCAAAATTTGTACTCAAATATTGAAATATTTAATTTTTTATTTACTTCATTCAATTTTAGTGAGTAAAGTTATAATTCAAAAATAATTCTTCTAACTTATGAAAATGAAAAACGAGAATTGATCAACTACTATAGAAATAATTCATTTGATGAAAAATATACCCGTCATCATTAGCTTTAGTGGAAATATTTATAAACCAATGCCACTATATAAATATTCTTGAAAAAAATATATTCTTGGCTATTGATAAACTATTTATTCTAAGGGGAAATGAATGACTCTTCATAAATTAAGAAACTCCGAATCTAGCTGTCAAGTTAATAAGTAAATAAATAAACAATTTTACTAACATAATTAATTCTATCATCTTAATCTTCTATATAAATTTACAATGAAGCTAATAATTTATGACTTCTCACTTAATTTTAATATTAATTTTGCTCATGAGAGAAATAAATTAATCTTATTATGTTATTTAGCAAAACTGAATGAATTTAATCAATCAGAAAAGCTGTACATATCAAGATTAATTCGACTATAGAAACTTTAATACCCACATGTCCTTTTCTGTTTGAAACTTGAGGTGAATGTTGAATCACTCCCAAGATACCTTAAGGTAAGTTCTGATCCTAAATCTGTCTGACAATTGAACATCTGTTATAATGATTGCCTATAGAACGTCGTTACCTATCTCCTTCAAAACAATCAATCAATTAATGTAAGTCACGCGAAAGCTCTTTGATAGACAAGTGTATTTGCTTCTTTTTCGCGAATAATCAAACTAACCAGAACGCTTATTCATGCTTGAAGAATCTAGTATACTTCCCACGTTGAAATATAACAGACAGTACGTTATTGTACAATCTCGACATTAAGCTGGTGATTAATTTGATGATCTGATAGTGAAAAAGAGTAAATTACCTCACATAAAAGTGTTCGTCCTCTTCAAACAGCTCATCATCAATGACAGATAATTTAATTGTCTTTTTAGTCTCTCCAGGTTCGAATGTTAACGTGCCCTTGGCACTGACATAATCAGAGCCAGCTTCAGCTGTTCCATCTTCAGTGTAGTAATCAACGGAACAAGATTTGTTAATATCACCTCCAACTCTGGTGACACCGACTTCAAACTCTCCAACATTTTCCATGACAGTATAATGAGCAGGTTCAAAGAAGACCCTTTGAGAATTGATCTGCTCAATATCAACACACTCAGCTTCAGCCCTTTGGAGCTCAGCTTTTACTTCACTTAAGTCACTTTGAGCTCGTTCGCTAATTTTTCTACTCAAATTGCCAGCACCTACCATTTTTCTTGTTGCTAAAACTCGGTAAAAGGCGCGGCTCTTTGGTCCTTTACCCAGTACTTCTTCATGCGCCATCACCTCCAGCTGCTCCAAAGGCAAAGTTGGGTGCTTTTTTCTCAATTCCCGTAGAGTATTTATGTAGTCTCGTCTTGTTTGCTCAAATTCTTTAGCCTCTTGACTGCAATCATCACCTACTCGATCTACAAACAGGTGTGGTCCATCATGATCTTTTATTTCCAGTTCAACACCCGTCTCTGAATCTCCACCTTCTCCTTGGACTATAACTCCACGTTTATTCATTCGATATCCTTTGTGCAAGTATTTGTAGATAAGAAGACGCCGATCAGCTACATAGGCCGTGATAACAGTAGCAGGGAAGAATGCAAATGTGAGAATGCCCTCCCATACTTCGAGGACACCTGGACTTGATACTGAAAGAATTATGTAGAGCCAAACGTAGGCGAATATACTCCATGTAGCCGTAACGAAGAAGACCCTTAGGTGCTTAATCTTACGATGCTCGCCTTTGGGTATTACAAATACGCAGAGAGCGATTATAACAAAGAGATTGTAGGCCGCAGAACCAACAATAGTACCAGGTCCTAGATCACCAGCTTCAAAGTCTTTTGCCCATATCTCAATAATCGACAAAAGAATTTCTGGTGCACTACTGCCTAGAGCCATCAAGGTCAAATTCGCCACCGTTTCATTCCACACCCTCACTACGATAATTTGCGGTTCACAACCTTGTCGTCTCACTACAAGTTCTTTTTCTTGCGATGTTATTACCTCGATCGCTGCCATAAAACGATCACTTATTATCGATACACCGATAAATAAATAGATAAGAAAAAGAAAATAGACTGTGCCTCGTATTATGATGTCAGTTAATGAAAGATCATCAACGGGATACCATAATGGTATCATCAACCCTTCTGAGCAATTAGCTGTGTATTTTGACATTTTTATTTATTTATTTTTTTCTCGCTTGGTTTAATAAAATTGAGGTAGTTCTGATAAATTATTTATACTTTTTTCACATCATGATGAAGTATGTCGATTAAATTCACCTACACTTTTTTTTGCCACCTCACTCTGCCGCACTTATTTTACTTTCTTTTGATTATCGCTTTATATACCTTCTCTTCTTCCTACCGTCACCAACACTTGACTAACAATTTCACACCTTTCACCAATCCCCCGGCGATAAAGCCTGCATCTCAAAGCGGCTACCGAGGGAACTCGCCGAATTTGACGCGACAGTGAGGTCCCATCACGCGGACCTTCGAGCACACACACGTACTCACGCTGCAACAACGGATCTCAACCGCGTACGAGGGAACACTGAAATGCATCGGGCGAGACCCGCCGCGGAAGAGTCGAGCTACGACCCATCGTTATCCCACTCACTCTTCTATGATTCGCAACCCCTATACTCTTTTTCTCTCACTCCCTCATGCTTACTATTACGCTTATGCCATTTCTCGTCGCGCTCTTACCCTCATCGCGTCCCTGACAATCCCTAGCGCATGCTCCATTCACTCTCTTCGTTCTTACTCCACCCTAGACATGCTGGCGAGTCCACCAAAACCCTTATGCCCATCCCTTCGAAACCCCAAAAAATTCTCAAGTCGTTTCCTTTGTCCGTTTTATCTTCGAAGTGAGGGTATTTAAACACTACAACATTACGCAGATAATTTACACAATTATTCTTTTGACTTTTTTCTCCATCAAGATTAATAACTAGGAAATAGTCTCAAATAGATAAGAATTGTCTCCAAAAAGTGGAGGTTTTTTTTATAACATTCAAAGTACATATAATTACAATTAACACGTGAAATTAAAAAGTGTGGTTATGGCAGATTAAAGTAAAATATACATGTTTACTTTACGTATAAAAATGTTTTGACAAGTAAGCTTTATCAGAAGAATGATTAATAGTATTACTAAATGTTACTTTTATCTCATGGGAAATATATTATAACTTAATTATTTCCTTCCTTTTGTCAACTGCTCTTTCCTCTCCTTTCTGAATATTTATCATTAAATAATAGTTGAAGAATTCAAGATCCATTTAGCCACAGGATAAACCAACCACAAGTTTCTCAGTAAAATCTTCAATATCAGTATGCTTATGGTTGCTAATTTTAAGAGGTTACCAGCAATATCCAGGTATTCTAATATAAAAGCATCATGGCATAAACTTGCGATAAGCTTCCTACACTGGTGAATAAATTATTATTCAAATGTACTTTAACGTAGAGTTAGCTTCGAAAGAATTCAAAAGACTGGTAGTTGTTTTGATTTTATTTTTCTGAAAATTTAATCCTTTCTATAAGTCTTAAGCTCTTGAAAGAATATTTACATTTATTGTTATTCAAATTCATTTTTATACTTACTTGATAAGAGAATATGTCAAAAGTTATTTGAGTAAATTGATTTTCATTACTGCTGTAGTGATGATAATATGAAGAACTTCAGTTATAAAATAACTCTAATTCTACAGGAATTAATGTCTTTCAATAAATATTTACTATATGAATAGAGTAATGAAAACAAAGAGTTAGAACTCTATTACTAAATAAGTGGTATTATTAAGTATATCAGAAAGTAAATAAATTCATAAAAGTGTTTGGATAAGGAACACAAAAATAATTAATAAGAAGAATAAGTTTGAACACAAATACGTTTGGATGATTACTTTGATAAAAAATAACAAAAAATTTTCACAGTATCATTTTCACATTCGATAATTCTCATTCGATATATTTTATATTTAATACAGTGTTTTATATATTTTATAAAATGACTTTATTTTTTGCTTTTACCTTGATATGTTTGAATTTGATCAGTAGATAAAAATTTCACACTTTGATTTGAATAAAATATACTGAATCACCAAAAAAAAAAAGATGTTTGATTAATGTTCAATTGGTGATTTATTATTTGATCATATCGACATTTTTTTCTAATAATAAATGAACTGTCAGCTTATACTATTTTTAATAAGATGAATGCACCACTGATTTACCCAGCATCAATAACTGGCTGAGTCGCTGTGACGAAAATCCATGACCAACTTATTGGTTTTAGCTGATTGACTGAAAATTTATTTATTCTCATTATACGTAACAACAATTATTTGATTAAATAATTACACATGATTCATCTCTTGTCATTGTATTTTATGTATTTTAAAAATTTTATTCCCGATAATAGAGTAAATCAAATATTTGAAGACATTAATATAAAAAAACATGTCAATGTCAGAATTTGTATAAAAAACATGAAATAAACTTTTTTAATATAATTTTATGAAACTAAAAAAGCATAGCTGAACAAATATTCCATGACAAATGAACATTTCAACATAATATGTGAAATAAAATCAATATAAAAAAAGCTAGTCAAAAATTAGAAAATTTTCAAATACAATTTCTATCCTAAAAAAATTCAATAAATCTATGTGATTATTTGTAACAACAGTTATAGTTGATAAAAAACATGTTTTTTTATAATCTTGCAATAACAAATTACATAATTGAGTTATATCAATTTTAATATTAGATTTAAAATAGAATAGAATAAAAATAACTATATAGTAACATTTATTTACTCTGATGGTACACTGATTGTAAATAAAATTTCTATAAACAAATTCTCGATAAATTACAGAAATATCTCTATACATAAATCATTTACATAACTACTGTTCAAATCAACAAGCATTAGATAAATTCATACGCATTTACTTCCTATCAGCGCACAATTCGCTTGCAATTTATCTAACTCGATCTCTCTCATCCGTAAGCAAGTTTAGCTCGTTAGTTTCCGCGCCCTGGTCAAACTACCAAGTCCACTCATCACCAAAAGTTAACCGAGGTATAACATACTCTCTGTGCATACGATCGCATCTCACATAACAAGGTTCTCTGTACACTGATGAAGTATAGTCTAAGTAAACACTAACGTTATACGAAAGTCTCCAATAAGCAGGTGTATCCAAGTGACTAAGAGGGTTTCCTTGAAGATAAAGATGTGTGAGACTTCGCACATTATGGATAGAAAGACTTTCGATACTACTAAAATGATTGCCTCGGATATCTAGATGCTGAAGACACGTGTTGCTATCGATCCAGCCAGAAGGGAGATAAGAAAGTTCATTATTTGATAAATCAAGCTCTTCTAAAGATGGTAAATCAACGAAAGCATTAACATCAATGTTTCTTATACGATTTCCACCCAATGAGAGCCACTTGAGATGATGGAGATTACAAAAAATACCACTTGGAACACTATGTAAGAGATTGTGATCCAGAGAAAGACTTGTCAGCATCCGGACACTGCGGAAATCCGGTAAACTCGTCAGGCGGTTGTAACTCAATGATAAATCTCGGAGTTCTTGCAACACGTCAAAGGTTCCTGGAGAAATAGTGTCTATTCTATTGTGGGCCAAGTTCAAGCTCTTGAGATAACGACTATCTTCAAAGCTGTCACACTCGATGTAAGCAATCTCGTTTCGCGACACTGAGAGAAACTGCAATCGGTTTGTACCTCGAAGATTCAAGTAAGCAGTACCGTGACACTGCCAGTGGCAAATTGACTGGATCCGATTGCCATCGAGAAAGAGTGAAGAAAGATTTATTAGTCCACGACTATCAAGACGACGTATCCAATTACGTTCGAGGTGAAGGTGGGTCAAAGTATAAGGAAGTTCTAAGTAATCAAAGGTACGACCTTCCAGTCGATTGTCTGACAAATAGAGATGGGTCAATGATGGAAAACACTGTCTTAGTGATGTCGTGATATCTTCCAGTTGGTTTTTGCGGAGATAAAGATGCTCCAAACGAGGAAAGTAATCAATGCGTGATAGAATCAAGTTTGCTTCATGACCTGGAGAATTATTCTCATCTAAAACTAAAGATCTTAGTTTATCGTGACCACCGAAAGCTAAAAAATCACAAAATTCAATACGATTACGTGACATATCAAGGTAAAGTAGATTTGGTAAACAATCAAAAGAACCAACTGCCACATCATCTATAAAACTATCTGGAATGCTTAGACAGGAAACGCGGTAGCTGTCAATAAATCCTGGATATAGACTTCTTGGTGCTACCCCCGGAAGATTCAATGACAAATCGCGATCCCTCATATCTTCACATTTCCCTGTTGGCAGCGAAATTTCCTCAGACATTGATGAACGGATATTGATTGAGTGATCGACATATCGTAAAGGAAATGTTACTCTTGGTTTTGAATAAGTCAACCCTTTTTTACTTGCTAGAAGTATGAAGAAGGTTAACAACAACACCGTCAATGCCTTCATGGTGGATACAATCTACAGAACAAAAAATAAAATTAATTTATAATTAAAATTTAAAAGAATACTTCTTATACCGATTCACATTGTAAGCAATTTATTGAGATATAGACTTACTTATAAAGCCTCCAGGCTTTTCAATATCACAGAGATAAACTTGAAATTGCTTTTATAGATTTCCTATTGACCTTGGTTATTGTTATTTATTCATTTGCATAACGATTTGAAAAATAGAGAAAACACAAGTAAATGTAGACGACGATTTTACAAGATTTCTATTATTATCAAAGTGGATATCGATCGTGAGGTCAAACTAGTTTATCGAAAAACCTTGGCCTTTATTGAAGGTATAAACTACAGTTTAATATCTATCAGTTTCATTTGTTGTATCGATATCATGATGCTTTCATAAATATTTTAATTATTGTTTATCTAATAATAGAACTGATAACGACTATAATTGAATGGATTGAATGACTTACTAGTTTCTAAAAAATTATGAAATCTGTCGATTTATGTAAATCTTACCATTTCATATTGATCATTTCAATATTATAAGCTAAATGATTCATCATTCGCTTTTTTAGGGAATTTTCCACATAAAATGATGATTTTGTATCAAATAAACACCGTTTCTTGATTAATTAATTGATTACTAAATTAGCAGTGAGTAAAGTGTTTGTTGATGATCTTTCTATGTCAGTCAGTTAGATAGATCTCTGCTTTAGCCATCATAACTCTCGTTGAGCATGATGATATGATTTTTCTTCTTATCAACATGAAATTGATAAAACAGATTTGGCGGATAAATTAAAAATTTTTTGAGTCAAACGTAATTTGCTGAATTGAATATTTTATTTTCAGAATTCTAATAAATAAAAAAACTTAGTTATAATTTTATATAATTTAATAATACATTTATAATTCGTAATTACATTGTAAATAATGATAATATGATAATGATTTAAATGTAATAATTAAAATAATAATATTTATTAAACATTTTTTGTTTCTTTATCTTTCTACTGTTTCAATAACATTAACATTACATCCCAACAAACCTTTCCCAGACCACGGCTTGGGAATTAATTTCAACACTGCTGTTGATTTATCTGTACGTTTTATTTTGATCATTATCTCTTTATAACGACTTTGCTCCACAAGATCACCTATGTCTTTCAGAGTTCTGAAATTCTGACAATTAATAGAACCAAATTCCATAATCAAATCATTCAGTTGTATCCCCTGTAAAAACCATTGTTATTATTTTCAAGAAATTTTTCATTATTGAAATATGTTTCTAATTACTATTTAGCAACTTGATTACCGCTAGTTCTGCTGGAGAACCAGATGAAACAAGATTTACTTTCAAGAATGGCTCTAATAACATATTATCAGCTTCAGCACTAACTGGAGCATCTTGTTCCATCCGAATTGGATAATCGATTGATGGACTTGTATCCATTGCTACATTATCTCTTCCTGATATTGTATGTACTTCAATTAAGCCTTCTTCAATTCTTTTCATCAATACTTTATGATCATTTTGAAGACCTAAAAATTATCAACAATTCGATATTTCTTAATACATTGTTTGTTTTATTAAGAAAAAATTAAACTTACATATTATTTTATGGCGGGCATGTCTCACTTGATAGACGTCAATATCAGCACGCGGATACCCTTCAGAATCAACCAATGAATCGTTCATGCCTACATGATTCTGTAATAATTATCAAAAAAATTAGAAATTAACAGATAATTCAAATATGTATTTTATATAATTTCATTTTCTATTATATTTACAGTATCTAAAATAAGTTTCAATTCTCGTAATGTCACTTCAATCTCATCTTTCTGCTTCATTAACTCCAAAACTCTTTTTTTCGCGTTTTCTAATTCCATATCGACAACCATTTTAATAGTTGTGTAATTTTGCACTCAACTATTTTTCAAACAACTATGGCAATATCATAAACAGCAAATTAACAAATAGAATATCAGAAAAAATCTTTCACTCTATGAAAATACTGCTGAATTCATATGGTTATACACACAAATAAACTTTATATATATTCATGCACAGTCACCTATACATAAATGTGCTCCATATTTGCTGCTATCACGTTCGTGAACAGTAGATTTGTTTCTCTTGAAGAGGTTATGTTTTTTAAATACAATTCCTCCATGGATATTGAATACTATTTTTAATGAAATACAGTAAAATATAAAAAGAATTTATAGAAATTAAGATACCTTTTCAAAAGGTTTTATTATAAATAATGAGTATAACATCATTGATCACACGGCTTTTAAAAGTTAATAAAAGATGTAATATTTTAAATTTTAATAAAAATTTATCTCAGCAAGTGGTAAAATTAGAAAAACCTGAATTAAGATTTAAAAAGTCAAAAGTAACTTCAAAGTTTCAACGAGTTACTGAAGATGATGATGATGATGCACCTGGATTTACTGAGTATGCTTTAATAAGCATCCCTATAATAACTTTTATTCTTGGAACTTGGCAAGTTGAAAGGAGAAGATGGAAACTAAATCTTATTGAAGAACTAAAACAAAGAACTACAAGTTCTCCAGTACCTTTGCCTGATGATTTAAGTCAGCTACAAGACATGGAATATATGCCAGTTAAAGTAAAAGGTGAATTCTTGTATGATAAAGAGTTTTTACTTGGACCAAGAAGTCTTATTTTAGATGGTAAGCCGGCATCTGAGAAAAGTGTATCAAGTATGGGGGGTAGTAATAAATATTCAGGATATTATGTTGTGACTCCATTCAAAGTCAAAGATCGAGATTTAATTATTTTGGTGAATCGAGGCTGGATAAGAACTCGTCTTGATAAAATGCCTCCTGAAAAATTAGGACATGTTTCAGGAGTAGTGGAAATAACTGGTCTAGTGAGACATACCGAACAAAGACCACCTTTTATGAAAGCAAACAGACCAGAAACTGGTATATGGTCTTATCGTAATATTGGTTCTATGGCATTAGAAGTTGGTGTTGATCCTGTTTTCATTGATTTAACTGAAGAATGTGATGTACCAAATGGACCTATTCCTGGTCAAACACTAGTTGACCTCAGAAATGAACATTTATCATACATCTTTACCTGGTACCTACTATCTGGATTAAGTGGATTAATGTGGTACAGACAAGTTATAAAAAGATTACCTGCTTGGTAATTAAACTATTATGTGATCTTGTTTAGATTATTGAACAGTAGAATAATCAAAAGAATAATAAGCTGTAAATAAGTAATAAATGTTTCAATGTTTTTTATTAAATATCATTTCAATCAATAAAAAACTTATTATATAAGTAATCAACAACATTTCCTAAATATTTCATTTTTAACAACATGTTAAGACCTTCGTATTTTTATAAATAATGCTTTTAAATATCTTGCTTCATAACTAACTATATGTTTTCCCTGAGGACCCATTGACAACTCGTTAGGATCAAATGATTGCTCAATAACTGTAGGGATATTTTTTCCATAAACTTCACAATGCTCTAAAAATTGTATGCATTCTTGAATTGTTGCATCTTGTAAGACTACTAGTTGTTTGGCTAACTGCTCAAGAAGTGATAGAAAACATCTTTTAGCATAATACCAAGTATCAGTTCCTAATTTTTTATTGTATGGTTCCAAACTCTTCATTACTCTTGATATCCCGAATTCGTAGTTTCCTTTGGAACAATAAAGAGTTCCAATCACCATATTGACGATACATAAGTGGAATAATTTTTTATCTTGATCTTCAAAAGCAATCGTTTCCTCCTCTTTTTCGATTTTTTTCATTAGCTCTTCTGCTTCTGCATTTTGAGATGTCATGATATAACTTACACACAAGTTAGCCAGAACTATGGCACTCACATCTAGGATCTAAAAAAATAAAATTCAAATGAGCTTTTTCATTACTGGAAAATGTTTAGATAATTGTCAAAAATTGCAGTTTCACCCATACATTGTCGTATTTTTTCTTCACTATGGGTTCATAAAATCCTGTGGCATCTTTGAATTTATTTTCCTGCATAAATAAGGTATGGGCAACATTGAGCCTCCAAACCTCATGATCATTACAAAAATCTGCACTCATACGAAATATTTTTTCAACTTGAATATAGTTTCCTAGGTCCCAATAAATTTTAGCTTGGGCCATTAAAACTGGAATATAACGCTCCAAAGCTTCTTCATAATCATTTACGGCTTTTTTCACTGCTGCTTCATCATGGTTTAGTCGAGCTTCTTGCACTTGCTTAGTTGTTTTACGTAAAATCTCACAATGTTTGCTGGCAAGATCATCAAGCTTTCTGTAAGCTTCTTCTGGAGATGTTTGTTGAGTTATTAAAGCATCAAGGAAATCGTAGAGATACTAAAATATAACACAATTATCAATAAATCATAGTGAATATTTTTTAAAATTATATATGGATATCATGCATTTATCAACTAGTAGTTTATAATTAAAAATAAAGAAATATATTAAAAGAATATGTCAATTATCAATTGTAGTAATTTTACAATAAAAATTCCGCGGGCTACTGTTTCTAAGGCGACAGCCCTGAATCTATTTTGTTTTGCTCTAACTAACCTCAAACAACATTATTATTGGACTAATGACAGATAATGGCAATAATTATCACTAACTCTTAGTTATTTTTAGTGCATAAAATATGACAAGTTGTGAAATTAATAAAATATTTAAAGGAAAAATAGCAGCCGTACAAAATTATGGTGCTTTTGTAGAAATACCAGGATTTAAACAACAAGGTTTAATACACAAATCCCAAGTAAGAAAAATTATCATAATATTTTAAATAAACAATTGTTCATATGTTTATACCATGTTTATCAGTAGATAATTATTTACTGTTTTTTTATCATTGTTAATAATATTACTGTTAAAATTCAAGGTAAGCTCATCATGGGTTGATGATGTAGCTCAAGTTCTTCAAAGAGGAGAACATGTTTGGTGTAAAATAATATCCATAGGAGATGATGGAAAAATAGGATTATCTATGAAACTTGTAAACCAAGGTGACGGTACCGATTTAGATCCCACAGGAATTGAACGTATGAAAGATGAGCAAAAAAGAAAAACCGTCGGCCCTCCACAAAAAAAAGTAATTCAACTTCAAGCAGTGTTAAATCGTACATGTAGGAAATGTGGTCTTCAAGGACACTTTGAACATGACTGCTTTGGAAGTATTGATGGCAAAAAGTATGAATTATTACCAGAAATTCAAGACGATTTACCTCCATCTTCAACGTCAGATCAACAGCCACAGTTGGAAAATGATGATGTCAAAGTAAAAAAAAATAAAGAAAAATTAAAGAAAAAAAAATCAAAGAAAAGTAAACAAAAATCTGTTGATAGTTCTGATGACGATAGTTCTGATGATGAAAAAAAACGTAAAAAGAAGAAGAAAAAACATTTAAAGTCGAAAAAAAGAAAGAGGAAGCACAGTAAAAGTTCAAGTGATGATTCAGAAGATAATGTCAGAGAAAAACATTCAAAGAAATGTAAACATTCCCGATCTAAATATTCTGATTAAAATTATATCATAAAAGATTTATGGAATTTATAATTAAAGAAAAAGCTTCCCACTTTTGTCCATACTTACTGGTGTTAAATATTTATATGTTAAATGCACATTTTCAGCAAGAACATCAGCTGCTAAATCAAAATATTGAAATTTGCAATATAGAAGAAGCAAATTAGAAAATGTTTCTGGCGGAAAAGGATTCTGTTGTAATAAAAATTGCAATTTTTCAAATCCTTCACTTGGTTTTGTGTCCATATTAATTAGCGCTTGATTGTGTAATGTAACAGCATCTAATTCTTCTTCTGATCTTGGAGGCATATCTGTTAAGGCTTCTTTAGCTGCTTTATCTGGAATATATGTACAATAATAATGAGCATTATTAATTAACTAGTAATACTCATGAATAATTTATTACTTTATAGCTTGTATTTTTCTGAAAATAAAACATTTAAAAAAAATACTTACAGTTTTGTAACTGATATTCAATGGCAGCTTTCAAATTAAAAGCTTCAGTTAAGGCTGTCTCATGAAGAGTTAACGTATTTCCAACACTTCTTACTTCAAATCCTTCTGTTGTTACTCCAACACTTAATTCTGGGTGTTCTTTGATTCCTTGTTCAATAATGTCAGCTATAAACAGAATTTTAATCAGTAAAAGTCCATCGCTTACAAGTTTGATTTCAATTTTAATTACCAATATGTTTTAGAGATGCTGCATATTCTTTTAATCTATAATAGCATAAGGCAACATTATATGATAAGTGAGGTTTGAATCCAGCAACTTGAAGGGCCCCTAAAAATTTTTTTAAAGCTTTTTCATACTCTTCTTCTTTGTAGAGAAGGCATCCTAAATTAATGTCTGTATCAGCATCATCAGGAGGACATTGGTCTAGGAGACCTTTAACAGCTACTATGTCTTCTTGGCCATATTTGATAGCAGCTTGTAATTTTTTTATTCTTGAATCTAGATGAGATTGATTGGTAATTCCCGCACAAACATTCCAAGCCTCTTGATACATACAAGCTTGATGCAGAGCTTGTGCATAAAATAATTTGTAAAGACTTTCTTCAGGATACAATTGAACTAATTTTTCGTAACATTCAGATGCACCTAGAAAATCTTGAGTGTAAAAGTAACAATAAGCCAGCAAAGATAAACAGGATCGAGACTAAAAAAATGAATAGACTTCTATTAAAAATTTAAAATAATTATTTCATTTCACTTGGAAAAATAAAACACTCCATTTACCTCTGGATGATTGGATAACAAATCGATCAATAATTGTATTGTATCAGTATATCGTTGTTCTTTAATCTGAAAAAATGATTTTGTCTATGCTGAACAAGTACTTTCTATTGAATTTTGTAATTATATATCATACCATTGTATAAATAACTTTGGTGTATTCACCATCTCTGATATGGAAGCTCTTTAAAAAAGTCGTCATCGTTTAACTGTCAATTACTTTATAATCAAATAATTTTTAATTCTTCAAATATTTCAACTCATCTAAAAACTTGTATAATCGAAAACTACTATACATTTTCAGGTATATTTTCCACGTGTTTTGTTTTGACACTCTGTAGATTGATGCCATGGTAACCATTATGAAGAAGTATTGTATCCAAGCTATGGATTTACATTTATTTAAATACAAGTAAGGTTATAGATTGTTTAAAATAGAAATAAAAATTTGATGAAAGAAAATAAAAATATGAATTTTTTGTAATTTTGTTTTTCTATTATCAAAAAATCACAATGCAAAATAGAATTTTTTGCATTTTATTTTTACAATAATTAATTTCGCATGGAACTTACAAACTTATATAATCGAATTTATTTAATAATTATTTAGTGAGCAATATTTATGAAAGTCTTATAATTGAATACTGTATATATTCCAATGAGACTTACATTTTATTTTTATAAATATCATTTTCGTCATGATTGGTAATATAATCGCTTTTCTATTAGCAATGATTGTCATTCAATCGATTTGTACTATTTATAAGTTAAGAAAAGGGGACGGGTATCGGTTAATGAACATTTTTGGCTCACTTAATAATTAATTTTATAAAATCAAAGATTGAAATTTATTTAATATTTTTTGTAATATAAAAATAAATTAATTTCATTAGTTAATTGATTCATGTCAATATGTATGAATTATTAATACCTCCTTTACTTGTTATTACCTATAACAAAATAAAGATATCAATGCCCGCCCCCATCTTAGGAATAATTTAAACAATATGTTTTTAATTTCTTCGAAATTTAAAACATTCATCAGGTATTTCATGCAAAGCGTAGTGTCGAGGTGTAACTGTCTTTTTTACGCCCCGATGTTCAAATCGAAAATCGTCTGATTCATCAAAATTGTTTGATGATGTATCTCGAAGATAATAAAAATCGGGGTCTTCAAGACTTTGTTTTAACATAGGAGTATTTTCATGATTATTAATATCATTCTTACCACTGCTTGTAGAATTTACAATTGCTGACGGTATTTCCCCGAGTTCTAAATTCTGTACAATTGTTCTCATCAATACATTTCTTTTAAATTTAGGTTTTTTCTCTGATTGATTTAAAACCTTATTGTCATCAGTATTCTTTATCAATTTTTCTGCTTCTATTTTTTCTGTTTCTTCTTTTGTTTTTTCTTCTTCTTTTAATCTCTTTTCTTCAGCTTCTTTCAATAATTTCTTTTTCTCAGTTAACTGCTGTAATCGACTTTTTTCTACTCTTGTTTTCCATATTTCTACTTCATCTTGATTAGTAGAAGTTTTTCCTCCATGTGCCTACAATACGGAAATAATTCATTGAGTCAGGTGAATAAAATATACATCTTGTAGCGATCGTCGAATCTATATCTATCGTCGGCGTCAGTGCAGAATCTTGTATCTCCATTTTTACCAACAATGCAAATATATTAGTGCCATGTTTACTGTGTTACTTTCAAGAAATATTTTTGTGTCTTCTATAAAAAAGGGTTTGTCTGTAATAAAGTCCTACACTTATGTCAACGAAATATTTCTTAAAATTATAAATACAATAAAAATAAGGTCTTGAAAGCGTATCTTTAAAAAACATTACATACAAGGTCCAGCACTGACGCTAGCAATATATTATTTAATTATTTCATGTCAAATGATTAATAACCTCTATTATTGATGCAGTAATATCGTGTTCGTTAGGTCCCTCATATTTGTAAGGTTTTTCATGACATGTGTCAGATTGCAAAAAAAGCTGAAAACAACATATATCTTTAAATGTATATATTTACATAAATAAAATAATTTTACTATTGTTCCTTTTTCATTTTAATTTACATTAGGATTGCGAGATCTAATGCGACATGATCTTTCTGATTGAGAAGATGACGGTGAAGAACACGAATCATCAGCGTTAGATATTGCTTCGAATTTTGCGATTGTTGATGGCTTTGGTAGTCGTAATTTTTGATTGATTTCTTCTTCCAATCCCATTGTGAATTCAAAATTTAGTCTAAATAAATGAAATTACTATCAATTTCATAAAAATTAAATAATCAATGACAATTAAAACAATTTACAACACGTATTTGTTTATATTTATATTCATGAGTAAACTTATAAAAATTACCTCCAGATTAGTCTTCAATTTGTTGAGAATTATTTTAGAGTTAATCTGTATTATAACTACGTCGTTTTGAAGTTCTGATATTGAAACAATATAAAATTGATCATTAAACCGTAAATAAGATATTACAATAATTAAAGGTATTAACCCATTCGTTTAAATATCGTGTACTTGAAGTTTTTAGCATCTACATAAATGATGAAACCTAAGCAGAAATCTGAAGACAAAATTATTAGACGTAAACAAAATTTCAATGGCGTGCGCCCTGTTCTTTGAAATTCATCTATCGGAGGAAAATGATAATACTTTTTTTGGGTTATGACATCGTCTTGATATAGTTTCGTTACTACATACTGTACATTTAATGACGACGAATGCGTGGTACCTCATTCTTTTGTTGTTATTTAAACACGTGAGAAAAAAGTAAAATTTTAATAAAAATAAAATCCAAAGTTATTGCTTCCATGTTACAATTAATAATTAAATAAATAATATTGTGGTTATATTTATAAATAAATATAATTAGTAAGGTAATTGTAAATTATAACTCTGGTGTTAGGTTAAGTTTTATAAGGTTTTAACCTGTATTTTAAAAAATGTCAATGTTTGAACAAATACTTATATTTTGCAATTGTTAATACGGATCTATGTCGATAAATTAAAGTTACTTAATTATTAATTAACAATTTCATATCAATTATTGTATTGACATAATTATATAATTATTTTTAGGCACAAAAACATTAACCATGGGCAAAACTAATAAAAAGAAAAATTTATCTGAAAAAGCAGCAAAGAAAGGATTAAAGGATATTAAAAAAGTAACTAATCCTTTTGAAATTCATGTAAATAAAGATAAAAATAAAATTTTAGGAAAAAAAAGTAAATCTGACCGAGGTCTTCCGGGGATTTCACGTTCAAAAGCTATTAAAAAACGTAAGAATACTCTTCTTCATGAATATAATAGAAAAGATAAAGATAACATATTCATGGACAAAAGAATTGGAGAAAAAAAGTCCATGACAGATGAAGAAAAGTTTATGGCTCGATTTGCAGCGGCTCGAATGAAATCTCATAAAAAACAAAGCATTTACAATCTTAATGATGATGAAGTATTGACTCATAGAGGTCAAACACTCGAAGAAATAGAAAAATTTGATGATCCTAGAAGTGATGATGAATTCAGTGATGATGAGAATGTTAGAAAAGGTCATTTAGACAAACAATTTGTTGATGATGCTCATTTTGGAGGAGGAGTTTTATCAAAACCTAATGCACCCTTATCTAGACAAGATGTAATTGAACAATTAATTCTAGAATCAAAAAAACGAAAGGCAGAAAAACAAAAAATTAGAGAACAGACAATTGATTTAACTGAAAAACTAGATTCTGAATGGAGAGATCTTGTACCTCTTATAAAATCATCTAAGAAAACAGAAGATGAACTTAAAATAAAACCTAAAATCGATGACTATGACAGAGCGGTTAGAGAGCTTAAATTTGAAAGCAGAGGGAATCCAACGGATCGATTAAAGTCTGAGGAAGAAATAATGAAAGAGGAAAAAGAAAAATTAGAAGCTTTAGAAAGAGACAGGATTACAAGAATGAAGGGACTCATCAATAATATTAATGGACAGATCAAACATAGATCCGCTGATGATTTAGAAGATGGGTTTGAAGTTGAAGAGATTGTTGAGGAGCCTTTGGCATATGGAGAAGATGGTAAACTGTTAGAAAATAGTAATAAAAATATAAATCAGTCTGATCATGAAGAGGTCAATAATAGTAATTCAGATGATTCTGAAGAAGATGATAACTCTGATGATGAGAATGAAGCAGAAAATGATCATACTGAGGAAGTCAACCAATCTACTAACGAAGAAGAAGTAGAAGATGAAAATAATGAAGATGATGATGAAGACGACTTATCTGATTTAAAGGAATCGGAAACATCCAGTGAAGATGAAGAAGGCATTGTGCATAATGAACATGATAAAAAAAATTCCGTTATTAAAATTCTTGAAGATAAGCCTGTAAATGTTTTGACTAATGGTGTATTGAATGTTCAAAAACTTCAAGAAAATGATGAAAACAGAGTAAAAGAGATTAGAGAAGATCTTCAAAGGCGGAAAGAAATTATGGAGAAAGCTCGTGAGGAGTTACCTTACACATTTAATGCACCAGAAAGTTATGAAGAATTAAAGCAGTTGTTACAGAATCAGAAACCAGATTATCAATCGATTATTGTAGAACGAATAATAAAATGCAATCACTGGACACTTGGTCAGGGAAATAGAGAAAAATTATGTAAAGTATTTGAATATTTATTGAAATATATCGTTGATTCTGCTTGTACCAACGAGACAGAACAGTTAGTTGAATATTTTCAAATTTGTGATGAACTGTGTCCATACTTGTTTGATTTGGCTCAAGCTAGCGCCACGAATACTGCCACATGTGTTCAAAATATTCTCAAGGAAAAATATAATCTTTTCAAGGTGCAACAAAAGAAATATCCAGGATTGGATACTCTTATTTTATTTAAATTAGTTTCTCTTATTTTTCCAACATCAGATTTTAGGCATCCCGTAGTTACACCTTCTTTAGTATTCATGTCACAAATACTCTTAAGATGTCAAGTGAAAAAGAAGACAGACATTTCAAAAGGACTTTTTGTTGCCACTCTTATTTTAGAGTATACATTAATGAGTAAAAGATTTTCACCTTCAACGATAAACTTTCTCCGAGGAATTATTTATTTAGCAACAGTTAAGCCATTAATGTTACCTAAAATCGTTCCACCATTTAAACGTAGTGGACAATATTCAAGTCTATTAATTCTTGATAAAGACCAGAGAAATTTAAAAATTGATGTCAACGATATTCGAATGATAGCTAGTGACTTGATTGAAGGTGATATAACTGATAATTTTAGAATTCGAGCATTTGTAACAGCTCTCAATTTAACAAATGAATTTAGAGATCAACTGAAAGAGTTAGAAGCTGTATATTCTATTTTTGAACCAATTGTTAAATTATTAGATATTAATTCTGTAGAGAATTATCCTGAAAATATTCGAGTACATGTTAATAAAATTCATGAAGATCTAAAAAAATTAGCAGATAAAAAATTGAAATATTTAGTTCGAGAAAAAAAGGGCCCGAAAGCTCTGAGACTATATGAACCGAAGATTGAAAAAGTGTAAGTACTATTTTTTTGCTACTTATGAATACTTAAATAGTTTGACTAATTTAATTAATTATTTATTTATTTCTCTTGTAGATTTGATGGTAAGAGACACAAGTCAATGTCAAAGGAGAAAGCAGAAAGAGAAAAATTGTTGCACAAATTGAAGAAAGAAAAGAAAGGTGCTATAAGAGAAATCAGAAGAGATGCATCGTTCTTGGCTAAAGTACAGATTAAAAATCAAATCAAGAATGACGAAGAACGGAAACGTAAAGTTAAAGAAATTTATGGCGATGCTTCAATGCAACAAGGAGAATTAAATAAATTAAAAAGAATGAAATAAATAAACTAGTTTTATTTATTTATCATATTAATACTTTCATTATTTTCTATAACATCATTTTTGTTGTTTTTATAGCGAGCTAACTTTCTTAAATTAGTTTTAAGTACGAGTTTTCATGAACTCATCAAAGTTCATCGCTCGTAATGACTTAAAACAAATGAAACAATTGTTTTTCATTAATATAACAAAAATGTAAATTTGTTTTATCTGTTAATTATCATGTATATTGTTAATTAACTTGTATATGGAATTCATATGAGTATTTTTAAAGATGTAAAAATTAAATCAATATAATTACTGTAAATATTTTACATATTTTTTTTACTTATAATGTCAAGTGTTACAAACTATTGATTTATAGCCGTTTCTAAAAAAACGAATTAATTTCAGTTTTTAAAATCGGAGTACCATCTGTATGCATGTAGTGCTCATGAGCATGTGTGTGAATGTCGGGACTTTAGTCATTTGATTCTCTCCTACTCTCGAATGAGTGCGAATTTCGATGTATGTGTAAAGTGCTCGACAGAATAAAAAAAATGTGTTCTGAGTTCTCTGCATCTGTAGCTGGGTTCAAAGAACTTATTTTATGATTTGCTTCAAACTTCAGTGAACAAACTACAATTGTCTTCAACTTTAACTTTTTTTATTCTGTAAATACGTTTTTTTTTTAAATCTAACTACGCACTCATGGATTAAAATTTGTGAAAAGCAACGAGTATTATCCGCTACGTCATCTATTTCCATAACTTATGTCAGCTGTTAACCCAAATTAGGCAATTTACAAGTTCCTCGTAAAGTAGTATGAACAATAAGGTATTCTATTAATTAACTTTTATTTTCAAATGCTTCCTAATAATGAATAAAAAAATTGTAATGTCTGATATTGGATATGTCATGATCAATTACTAAACTTGCCATTTAATTTCAATAGTGAATTTTGCTTATCACCAAAAAGTAACATATTTTTTATTAACACAACTTAACCTCAGATTTTTATATTTTTATTCTAGAGTTGGTAGATTTTTCGCAATAGGAAAATGAAAGTCTTTAATGACAACATTGAATAAATCAAGGTAAAATGTCTGACGATAGATCTGATAGATTATTAGGAACATTACCGGATCGAGAAGATCAGTGGCATACAGTTCAAGCAGCTCTTGAAGATTCGAGACCCGATAGATATCGTCTTCCAACAATAGGAACATTAAGGACACTTAGTACTTCATCCTCAGAACGACAAAGTGACAGGCTTTCTAATGGTAAGACATTTTATAATGTCATGATATAATAAAACTTATATTAATTCTATTGATACCAGAATTTAAGTAGAAAATTGTTATTCATTTTTGAAATACTATTTGGTATTATCTAGATATTTCCATTCTTAACGATTAATAAATTCATAAATAATAATTTATTCATTTGATTGTTCTGAAGAACCTACCGACGTTTTGGCGACCACAATATCTTCAGAAGAAGAGCCAACATTTACTTCTAATATGACAGATCAAGAATCTTCAGGAGATGTTACTGATGGAGCTTCATCTCCTAATCAAACATCTGGAAGTGTACCGACATTAAGTTCTGATGATGAGTATGTGTTAAACGTGATAATAGATTTTTTTTTTAATTTTATCTGATTTTTTGAAAATACTCTAGCATTTATCAATTACTTGATATTTATTTGTCATCTGATGATTTAATCAATATTTGTATTGTGAAAAAATGACTAGATATTTTATTTTTAAAGCAAAAGGTATTGCTGGGTATGTTTTGCAACGGATGAAGATGATGCAACAGCTTCTTGGGTGAAGCCATGTCACTGTAGGGGTACCACTAAGTGGGTACATCAAGGATGTATACAAAGATGGGTAGATGAAAAACAAAAAGGAAGAGCTGGTGCTTATGTTGCATGTCCACAATGTAATACAGAATACATAATTGTTTATCCTAATATGGGTAAGATACAAAAATAATAAAAGTCATATTTTTAAAGTTTTGAAAAAATTTATAACTGAATTGTATTGATTAGCTGTAAAAAATAAAAAATTTATAGGTATTTTTTGTTTCTAGGACCTTTAGTTGTAGTACTGGATACAATAGATGGTGTGATTTTCCGAGTGTGTCCATTCATAGCTGCAGGAATAGTTGTAGGATCGATTTACTGGACTGCTGTAACATATGGAGCTGTGACAGTGATGCAAGTTGTAGGACATAAAGACGGCCTAACAATGATGGAACAAGCAGATCCATTAGTACTTTTGGTTGGATTACCTACAATTCCTATAATGTTAGTACTTGGTAAAATGCTTCGATGGGAAGACCAAGCGTTGAGTTTATTAAGGCGTCATGCTTGTAAAGTGCCAGTTCTTAGACATTTTTTTTCAAGAAGGTAATTATGATATTTCAATTATTCCTGAGGTAACAATATTGAAAGTAGAATAAAATTTGCATTATTATATTGCTATGCTAGAAATTTAACCAGCTTGTAGAATTTTATGTCACTTTTATTAAAATTTGTCTTTTATTATACTATTGATCACATAATTAATATATTAATTTTGTTATTAGTCATTCAGATGAAGAACGAACCCAATCTCAAGAAGTTCCGCCAATGAGTGATCCAAGTTCTGCTACTCGGATTCTTTGTGGAGCTCTTTTGCTTCCTACAATCGCTAGTATTTGTGGGCGAATATTTTTTGAAAGTATCACTTCTAATTTTCAACGTACTATTCTTGTAAGTTTCCTTTTATGCCAAGATAAATTGATTAAAGAATTATTCACAGTTGATTGAATTTTTACAGGGTGGAGTGGCATTTATTACGATAAAAGGAGCTTTTAAAATTTATCATAAACAACAACAATATGTAAGGCAATGTCAACGACGCATTATGGACTATACAGAAAGTAATGTTGCAATATATAAAAGACAACAAAACACAGAAAATGGTCAAACGGGTTGAATATTAATAATTTAAAAATGATTTCAATCTACTCAATTAAATATGCGTTAATTGAGGTAATTAAGTCCAATCTGTTATCATCAATTTTGCATATAAAAATTGTATTGGTTTTAATCCAAAATATTATAAAACTAATTAGATTAAAGCTGACGAAGATGTAAATGAATAAAAATTCAATACGAGTGTAGAAAAGAATTGAATTAACTGTAAATATTCATATAAGACAGATTTTAAGTAAATCATTATAGTGGATTATAATACAGTTGATGTAGTAATCAAATATCACTTGTAGAAAAACGTTCTCCTGTTTAACAAAAAATAAACAATTTCTTTTTATAGTTCTTAATATTAAACATTTTTGTGAATTGTTCCGAAAGTTATGAAAATAGTGACCTCTGAAAAATTTTAAAATTAATTTCTTACGTACTAGTTAAACCAATTCTATAATGAATGTGTAGTAAAATATTTGAATTGAAGGATAAATTGAATTTTTACTCAAATTTTTATGCAATCTTCGACATTTTTGCATATGTATCTGGCAGAGGTGCTTGGGATAATTTGCTGGTATATGACGAATTTTGTAATTTCAATTTGTTTAATAAAAACATTTATTTTAAGATCACATGTGAAAAATAAAATAAATTTTATTCGATTTAAGGCATTTCTATAAGGTTAATATTAGTTTACAATATCATCAATCCCTGATACTCGAAAATATTAAATATTTCATCGAAAGCTACTTTAGGTAACTACAATTATTTGTATACAAATATATTTATTACATTTTGCCAACAATTCATTTTAATCATATTTAAGTACAATAGAATGTCTTTCATCTATAAATATTTTATTTACAAAATAATTGAGCTTCAGCTAAAATGGTCTTTGGTTGGTAAGTATCGTTAATAATTCGAATCTAAATTAACTTAAAGTATTTATAATCATAATAAAATAACAATTTATTTAATATTATTATCATTCAACTAAAACTGAATACTTAAATTAAGTTTCTGATTGACGAATTATAGTTTGCATACGTCAATAAATCCTTTTGATTTAAAACTTCAACTTCTGCTGTTTAAACATGCTTTTCAATTTTTCGAGCGATTAATAATTCGGCCTGAATAAATGTGTCAGTCAATCATCGATTTGAATAATAGATATGCTAATAAGTCATGGAAAATTTATAAAACATTTTTCAACTGGTATTTTCATTCTATTACTGACACACTGTAAATAAAATATCATGAATTCGAACTTAATAGAGCTATTAACTTCATACTGCTTTGTTTAATATTCAAACAATTAAAAACAAAATAAATCACTTCTTAAATTAGGTAAACCAAGTGATTAGCATATCGAATAATGATCTTGAACTTTTTGCTATTTATTCGTAGAGATAAGATAAAGTACCTGCTGAAATAATATTATATTGAATTAATTTAATCTTATATTGAAAACTTGGTCGAAATGATGTGAAAATATTGATATCTCAAAGCATGTGGCCTTATTCGAATTTTTAACTGAAAAATGATCTTGAAATAGATTTTCAAAAAATGTCACAAGTTTAGATATTATAGGAAATATAACATAACTGACAGTAATCATAAGAAATAATTACAAAATTATGATGATTATAGATAAATCTTTTCTTAAATATATTGGTATGTACTGATTATTTTGTACTGAATGAATTTTTAAATTCGTATTATACCATCAATAGTAATCATAATTGAATTATCTTTGAAAAATTATATAAATAGAGTTAAAAACTTAAACATAAACAACCTTGATTACAGCTCTGTGACAAATAAATATCTTAAAAATAATTCCAGTAAATGAAATATGATTTACTTATCTTCTGAAAATGCTTTGGAGTATGGAGTCGATTTATAGTAATTTAACAACCAATTTCAGAGTTAAATCATCTTAATGGTGGTCCGAGATATTTAATATTCGTGGAATAAAAGCAAGAAGCTGGTGGTTCACTAGTGGCTCTAAGTTTTACTCTTTCCGGTGAGTCATTTGAGGTGGGTGAATTTGATGATATTTTTTGAAAAAATATGCATGATCGTCCAAGGCTGTTCTCAGATTCTAGTTTATAAGGTGGACTCAATATGTCTAGAAATGCAGCCGGGCCTTTTAAGCAGGTTATTTCATGAAGATTGTGATCTTGAGGCTTTAATATGCATGCAGGATCAGTTTTTTGAACGATAACTGACGCATGCTTGATGGCATGTATTTCCTCGTTTGGTCGTATAATATGTCCTGGCGGTGTTTGGCTTGTGTAGCTGTCTATTTGTACTGTGCCGCTAATGACCTAAAAAAATTTTTATTGTGACAAAACAAAATAACAATGAATTAAATTTACGTTACAGTAGGGTAATAAATAATGAGTTATTGCGTTTAGTTGTCACAGACTGTCTGATATTATTGTGACAAACTAGTAATTTATTCCTGACATTTAATGTTGAGGAATCATAATTATTAAATGGTCATCGCAAATTACCTTTAGCAATCCATACATTCCCGGATGATCGTGCATTGGTAACGTTACTCCATTCTTTAATAAGAATACAGCAATAGTAATATCCTTATTATCAAAAATATCTATTACACACATCGGTGCATTAGTGTTTGCAACATAATCAAGAACCTGATTATCAACTTTGACATCATCAGCTTTGATGTTATTCATCATTGAATGGAGTTTTTCAAAGTTTTTTTGGCACAGTTTATAACCCACATTTTCACAGCCAGTGAATGTTTTTAAAGCTTGTTTCCATAAAAGTTCAATTGGAGTAGCCATTTTTGGAGTTTGAAAAGATGATATAATGTTGATAAAACTCTTATTAAATAATTTCATAAACTTCTAAATAATGTCTGAAAAACTTTTTATTGTTATACTGGAGAGCTATTAATCATCTCCAAGTTTATCAAAGGATGATATTTATAAATACAGTTATCAAGGTGAATAAATATTGGATTTCAAGACTGATAGTCTGTTTAATTGTTTTTATTATGAATATTCTAGTTTTATCTTTGTAGCACTTTCTGATTACAATGAGTACAGCTGTTGACTGTTGACAACATGGCGATGATCAGCTGAGTCTTCGGTGTTATTGCGCATGTCTATTTTTGTTTCCCGCTTTTTTGAAAAAAAAAAATTAGAATAGATTTCTCTGAGAAACACGTGTAGTGAATATTTATTTTTAACACGACAGATGTATTAATTTATATTATACGTAAATTATCGATAGAAAAAAATATCTAATGCTACGATCAAAAATGCGTCTTTATTGAATAAATATTTATGTTTATTTGAAATAATATATTTACATGAAAATTGTTGAACAGAATGATAGATAAATGACCTGCTCAGATTTCCATTCGTTCATAAGAAGAGTTTGAACAAGATAATTGTTATAATTTTATGAAAAGCATTTTAATGTTCATTAAGAATAGTACTTTCGCAATCTAATAGCTAATTGATCGTAATTAAATAGTTTCTGAATTTGTTTTTTTGACAATATCACGAAGCATTACCTCCTTTTGTATCCTTTTATTTATCACTTACATATATACATTCAACTTTTGTAAACAACAACAATTTAATTATCTAAATTACTTAGAAGTGTTTAGGCATTAATTAACAAGCTCGAAAGAACAGCGTAGTGATAATGATTGTTGAAGTAACACAGTTATATATAATACATAAATTCATTTACAAAAATTATTTCATTTTTTTATGTTGTAACTGTAAGAAACTTGATAAAAATAGTTGCAACAACAAATAAAATAATGTGAATTTTTTTTTTTATTTCATACACGCTCATAAAACCTAACTTTATGATCTAACATAAAATTCTTTTCATTCCTAAAAATTTATTAAATTAAAGTTAATTGGCACCAGAGAATTTCTCTCAAGATTTAGTTTTATGTTTTTTTTATGATGAAAAGTATGGATACTGAGGAGTGGTAATTGTTTTATTTCACGAAAGGGAAAGGGAAATACACTCATAGCAAAAATACCATCATAATTCACAACTTAATTAATTTGTTTTTATCATAAAATAGAACAATCACTTGCAAAGAAAAATAAGCAAGTATATTACTTTACAAAAATTTTTATTAAACTATTGTGATAATCTTTGTAGACATTCGCATGAGCCAGTAAAAATTATGTAAGTTTTTTCGCTTATTGAATAATAATATTTATAACATTGATATATATAATAAAATAGATTAATAAGATATCAGCAAAGATTTTCACAAGAATTTAATTCTTTTATCAATAATTATTAATTATTAATGTTACTTCAAAATATAAATGTTTTATTTCAATTTTATTTTTCATCTAATCCTAATTTCATTGTTAAAGTGCATTCTTTGAATTGCATACTTGAATAAAATTGTGATTTCATATTATCATATATATATTACATTTTAAATATTAATTAAAATAAAATATCCAGTTGCAACATTCCGCATAAATTTTAATTTTATTCAGATAGTCTTAGCAATGACCTTAATAAATTTGAACTGCATTTGGCGATACATAAAATAATTTGATGCATTGCAAATTTATTGATCTTCAAGTATGAGGGGAACTAAACACTTATCATAGTTTTATAATGCTGGTGAGAACAAATATTTCAAGAACAGTACGATAAAGCGCTAGAGATTCTTATGTAAGTTAACAATGTATGAAATTTTACAGTTTAGACTCAAATATATTTTTTATGAGCTTGAATTAATTAATGATTTTTTATTATCTAATAAGCAAATAGTATTCTATGAAAATTTTTTTACTAATTATAATTTAATTAATTGAATAAGAGATCGGAAGTTATTTATTCTAGATATTATAACATTAAACATTATTTTGCATTAGAGAAGTTGATGACGGAAAGGCTTTCGAATACAGCGAAGTAGTAATTTGTTTTAGTGCGGAAGCTTTATGATGTTTGTTTAATTGTGCAGATCACGCAACGGACGGATAAGAATGTAAAAATGTTGCGAACAAAAAAGACAAACTTTAGGATTGATTTAAACATGTTTACAACTAATACACTTCTATACAAAAGGAACATTTACGTAAACTTTGTGCAATACTATAAAAGCGAATAGATTACTGTAACGTGATTTTATTAATTCGCAATCTCTCAATTTGCTTATTATTTTAGTTTTTGATATCGAACAGGGCATCAGGTTGAAGAGAGTGAGCTATTTTAAAGAAAAACGAATATTTTTAAAATTTAATAATTTAAAATATAAGTAACCACAGAAATAATATTAGTTGGTCATTGAAAAGTCAGAAATATCTGTAGAATATTGATAACAGAGCATTTAGACTGTAATGCTACTGCTATTTTAACATTTATGCCATTAATATTGTAATGTACGACTTAAATCGAGGTAGAAAATAATATCAAGATAGATAAGACTAGAGCAACCACAAAATTGGCACGAGAATTTCTAAAATAAAAACAAATGAAAATGGCAGTAAATCATTATGAACTTTTGATGATAATCACTTTTTCATTTATGTATAATATAAAATTATCGCTTTATGTGTGACTTGTGCGCATTCGTAATTAACACATGCAGAGAAAAAAAATTATTCACATAATAAAAAGTAATAATGAAATTTTGGCAAAATTGATTAGATTTGGAACCCAATTATTTTAAAAAAATGTTGATACTAAAAAATTTAGATGAGTTAATTAATTCTCTGATTGAAAAGATATTCATTAAAAGAGTAAATAATTTTGATTAAAAAAATAAATCAATAGTCAAGAGCGATTGATTTATTTAATTCAAAATATTTTGTATTGAATTAAAAAAAAACTACTTTTAAATAATTTTTTCTCTCTGATCAGTCCTGAATAATTGGGAGTTTAATGTACAGTAATCTAACTTATAATAATCATGTGAGGAAGATCATTTTGATCGAAGTACTAAGTAATTTTTCTTCTTAATCAACAAAGATATTTAGTGATAATTACAAATTATGCATAAGCAAATTAGTTAGCCTCCAGAAGAATAATCTCTATGAAAGTATTACGGAATAGTATTTAATTAATAAACAATAATAACAGTAACAACAATATCAATTATAATAGTAATAATAATTTTATTTTTATAAATGTTTCCATAGAGATTTTTACTTCGATTAATTTGATTATGCACAATATCTCTCAATTAATTTTTCAACCATCAGATGTCAATTTCAACTTTTTATTAAAGAGTTTTAAATCTCGTTTTTAATGGCCCCACAATGACACTGACCCGTGCGATGTCGGGTTATATAGTGTCTATTAAAAGTATAATTTGTTGGTCAATGGTAACGACGATGAGCTATTGAAGATATGCGTGAATCAACATGAGAATGAATAGTGTTTAAGTCAATTCATTGAAGGTCCAGTTGAACATCCTTGATTTCCCTTAATATGTATTCGATGTACGTATAGTCTCGACTCAATTGAGCGTTTGTCATATTCTGACAATAATAAAATTTTGGGTGTTTTATAAATTCACATGTTACATAGTCAGTCATCAGACTTTCTAAACTATTCACGACTGTGGTTTTGGTTCTGGTTGTTGGAAATCCGAACGAGTATTAATTGAAGGACTGGGTGAACGAGAATTCGATTCTGAACTTGAACTACTCGATGACCTCTGTTGTCGTTCACGTAATTTCTGTTGAACTTTGTTCTTATGATTCCAAAGTGGACCTCGAATAATTTTTAATGTTGTTTCTAACTCATAAGCACGATCTTTCAATTCATTATATTTGGTTAAATCCAGTCCAACTTTTTTTGCACGTTTATGAAGAGCTATTAAGTATCTTCTATTCATTACATCTGGTAGCATATACTCCTAGGGAACAGAAAAGCATTGTTAATCGATAACGTATAAATGAAACTATTAGTTTGTAATTAAAATTAGAATTATTTATCTCAATTGTGACATAATAATAAAAAAAATTTATTATCGTTTGTCACATATTTGGAAATAACGATTTTATAGTTTATTTTGACACTAAAAATGTTGAAGTTTTTATTAGATTTTTATTTTTCTTTTATATTTTTTAATCCAATCGGATGTGAAATATAAACAATAGCATTTGCCAGAAGAATATAAACGAAAATAGAATTGAAAAATACAACATTACAATATTTATATATAGTTTTATCGATACTATTAAAAATGTAAAAATGACCATAATGTTTTTATTTTTCAAGAGTGCTACGATTTGCTGTATAATTTCAACATGAGCTTTAGACTCAGAAAATAGGTGTATGAAGAGTACACCAAAAAGGAGGAATTGTATTTTCATATTCAAGAGATCGTTCGCGATTTATCTTGATTATTTCATCAATGCGCTCACCTGTCTTGTTACGATGAAATAGATATAACAGAGCATGCCCGTTGCATATGTGACAAAGTAGGTCACAGGTTCCATGATATCCCACGAATACTCCCACCAGGTCAACCTCGCAAGGACTCCAAACTGAATGGCCATGGCGACAAGACCTATCCATGAGTGAAAATTGGCTCGTCTTTCGGCAGCAATTTCAAGTTCTTGTTTTTTCTTACAAATTATTTATACTTAGTTATCAAATAAAAAAATATATTAACTGTCTGTTAAAATAGTTTATGTACCAGTTCTAATGGTTCTAACTCCACCATCACCTGCTCCAACTCAGCAATGACTTCTCTCTCCAGAATAGAATTGTGTTCGGAACATTGAAAAGTTTCATAGAGCTGAGCAACCGTGACCTGGACGTCAGATAGCTTCTCAACAGCTTCCTATCGAAAGTAAAATACATTACAATGTAAAAACTATGATTCACTTATGTAAAACTTTTTGACGTCTCATGCATTTTACATTGAATACTTACCATCGCATACCTGTCTTGATTTGGCGGTGAAACATCGTAAGTTACATCGTTGATAACCAACCTAAAGTCAGAATCAAGAAGGGATTCTATTGTATTGTTGCTGCATATTCTAGTTCCCTCTAGAAAAATAAAAATGATTATTTACCTATTTTGATGTAAATTAATAAAGTAGTTATTTAATTGGAATAATAATTATTTCGAAATTGATGAAATGTCACCTTCTAATAAGCATTATAAAAAGTGCTTATCTTGACCTACTTAAGACATATTCAAAATTATTTAGATGATGAGTGATGGATGGGCTCAAAAGTCAAAGGTTATTTTGAAATTCCACGAAATGATCAATAAAAAATTGAACCAGAATAAAAAAAGGTGTAAAAACTACATAATAAATTTATATTTTATCATAAATAATAAATAATTAATAATCATTACACAAATGTTTTATTTAATAATAAATAACAATTGGAAAAAAATAATGTTGTAAAATATATCTCTATGTTTACTGAATCAATACATAATATGTTGAATTATATTATGCTTACTAAAATTAATTAAAATATTTGTTTATCCTCATGTGATCTTACCTAATGTCGTAATACATGCTCTGTCTATACCACGATCTTCTGCTTTCAACATATGAAGAAAATCTCCGACTGTGTTTGTGATTGGCCTGAGGGTGAACATACACTTCTCTTTCCTCGATGGAAGAGGAACCGTGATCCTTGGAAAGCCACGATGGAAGTCGATCGTTACGTCTAAAAACATAATTATGAATTCCATATTGAGTAATACGATATTTAATAACAACATTATTCTTACATGAAAGAAAAAAAATATTTTAATGAGAAAGTTTTTAATGAGTTAGTATTTTTAATAAAAAAAAAAAAAACCTTGCTTTATAATTATTTACAATGAATATTTTTTCAATATTTCATTATTATCATTCTAGTGTAGATAAATATCCTACATTGTTTCAGTATTTAGTACATTACCATAAATGATAACATTAGCAATTTTAATAACATTAAAAATCAGTTGGTAACTGTAAGTATCCGGAAAGAAAAGAAGAGGGTTGATAAACGGTCTTAAATTGTTGCGTGATAACCAGACGATCGGGAGTTAGGCCGTATAACCTGGTTAAGAGCCGTTGATATGGAGAAGGTATCAGAGTGTGTAGACTCAGAGCGAGAATAAACTGCAAAACGACGGTAATCTTTCAGGATTAAGCAGAACGGAACCAGGCGAGAGGTTTAGCCAATTCCAGCATAGCCTGAGGCATGTTTGTTATTATTCTACAAATATCTATTCTGCCTCTAGGGAAGGCTCATTCGAGGGTAAATATTCAGTTTCCAAATAATCATCTATTAAGGCAAACTCATCTATATTGCCGTTAACAAATCTACCTTGAACATTTAGAGAAGTAAATTATTGTGGAATTCTACTAATCGAACCCAATCAACATTTATTGAAATTCTCGTAGAATGCTAATTAATTACGATATTTAATGCTGCGTAACAGTGGCAGGTTTATTGTTAACTAATAATTTATAGGAATTTAAGTAAGCAGAAACTGGAACTCTGGACTGTGTAAGCAATGTTCGCACACTGGAACGTGTGGAAGTGGCAAGAAGCCGCAATTGCTACTTACTCCCCGCTACTATTATACTTTTCCGCAAATTCTAGCTGGTCTTCAATTTATCCCATCAGTTTCCTTCGAGCTTGTATGCAATTAATAACCATCAAGTGTGGTGTTTTCATTAGATATATTTATTTAATAGCATCATCTTGTCAAAGCGTTCATTTATTTATTGATAAAATAAAGAGTTCAATGACTAATTATATCTATTATTCATTTCTATAATGGAACTTTGTGGTTGTGTGATGAAATAAAAGCTAATTAAAGGTCTAATCTTTGTCGTGCATCGTATAAAATATCCTCACCCTAGGCGTATGTATTTTAATTATCTTCAGGATCATAGTCGTCAAGTTAGCATTTACTCTAAATAAATTTTATGAAAAATAATTTGTTAAATTTTCAGGTAATTTATTATTAAAGTCATTGATTTTATTAAAATAATAAAACAATTGATATTTTTTTATTTGAGTGATAATTGTAGTTAATTAAAAAACGTTGTCATTAAATATAATTTCTAATTATAGAGAGTTTTCATGTTTTAAATTTATAATGGGAATGATATATAAAAACTGCTTTTAACATTTGAGAAATCAGAGTATTCAATTGTCACTAATTACAATTAACTTTATTATTATTGAGTATAATTTCTTTTCATCATCATCAGTGTCTTAGAGTCTTTAGTGAGATCTCTGATAGCTGTTAGAGGATTAAATACCACGAGCAGTGATCTGCATGGTGCTCATCAATGACAAAGTTTCCAAGACCAAGTATTAGCAAGTTATAAGAAATTGATCTCCAATTAATCTGAAAATTTTGTTTTATTGATTAATTTGGGTCTAAGCCGTAAAGCATAAGACCCTTTCTAGAAAAAGTTAACGTAGAAAACTCTCAAGTTCTAATACAGTGAACGAGTTCAATGATTATGATTTATCATCTGTTTGCTACTATCTTCTGTTCGAGAGTATCCAGTCTTGGAAGCCATCTAGTGATGTGAGTGTGCAATTAATGACACTGAATATGCGAGAATAGAACGATTGGTGTTAAAAGCAGATTGGAATCTCATTAACAGACTAATGAAATAGGTTAACTGCCAGTGGAAATTGGCAATTCAGTTAAACAAGAGGTGTCACTCTCATAGCATCTCTCGTAAGAGGGATCAAAACAATTGATTATGGGTGGAGCACAGAGTGGAACAAATAACTTGGGTGATGCTTTGTGGACTCATGAGAGACAACGTCAACGGTCCCAAAGGTAAATATAATGACTTTAGAACGTTTATGAAATAGAATTAGTTATTTCAATGAAGTTTTTAATACTTTGAAGAAACCTATACTTTGTAGGAAATTACATAGGTGATTTTAATTCATGAGCTGCATTGTGTTGAAAATTTAATCAGTAAAGTTCTTCTAATTTCAACTACCACACGTTTCGTCTGTTTGTGGATACTTGCAAAAAGTTTCTTATTGGTTTTAGTACCTTTTTTAAGTTAATATGATCTACTTTAGAAGTGGATACCTGAAGTACATGATGCACTTAACGTCCTATACCTTCAAACTATTCAAAAAGTTTTGCTTTTCAGGGTCTCTTTGTTGTTTCAAGTGCATTGTTGATATTTTACTCACGAAATAACTTGAGAAATTAACTTGGGGGCTTTCGATCGCGTGATATTGTCATGTATATTCTGTTGTAAAAAACTCTTTTTGAATGAAAAGAAATCTCTGATGAAAGAAAGAAAGAAAGATTTTTCTTGGTAATATAACGTGGAATAAATTATGAGATTAGTTTTATTCCATTCAATTTCTATTAAAACTGGATCAAAGTTATTTTATACTATCATTTCTTTCAGTGATAAATTATCCTATTTAAAACCATGTATTACAGAGTCAATGTGTAATTTATTCAGATAATTAAATTGTATTCAATCAAAATTTTTTCTGAAGCTTCTCTGCTATTAGTGATGACATTGACATTAATAGTACCCAATTTAGCTAGAAATTTCATAATTAAAGATATACAACCTACTATTTACCTTATCATATCAATATAATCTCAATGGAAAGCATTCGCAATCAAGATATTGAGAATTAAATATGTTTTTCAAAAACTTTTTTTTATGATTTAAAAATTTTTTATAAAATAATGACCGATCGTTAATTGGCGCTGTTGCTACGGTCAAGCAATGCTTATTAGCACGTGATCGTAATCTAGTTGCTCATCTTACGTGAAAGAATTATTATTAAAGTCGCGATACTCCATTTCCCGTTACATGGTTTTTTTTTGTACTTCTTAAGATCCAGTTTCTTTATATTTGATGTAGAGTATATTCTTAATTTAATATGCAATTCTATAGGAAAAATATAAAAGAAGATTCTTAATAATTCTCAACTACTTTTATTATAATACCTACTTTCTCAGAAGAAAATAGGACCATCGATATTAAAAAGAAATCTTGGGAATTCAATTAATCTCACGTGTATCGTGAGCTGAAAGGATCCTCATGTTGCTTCGATGGACCTTCAGTTTCAGATGAATATGCATACGCATCACGATTTGAATATATTAGTGCAGTGAAATGCGGTCAGACTATTGGCTTTGTTGTATAGATACCTTCTCTTCTTCATGATAACTGCCGAAGCTAACATCAAAGGATCAACTGACAATCAACTACCGCCTATATGGGATCTAGACAACCAAGTTATTCGCTATTGAACCTGATCCTTTAGATGCAAATCTCTCGGTCAAGTGAAAGATTCATTGTTGGTAGCATTCTCACTCATAAACGAGTTACCAAGGTGACGGTCTATTCATTCAATATAGGTGTGAGATTTTTTCTTTCATCTTTGTTTAGGATTTTTGTCAAATTTCATTCATATTCATGACTGTGAAATGTAGCTGAATAACAGAGAATGCATGATAACAGACATTATAATTGGATTATTGGACTCGTAGGTTTTTATAATTGAAAAACTATCTGATTGACTCGTGAAAAATATGACAGGACTTTTGCCTCAGGCTCTTCTATTTTAAAACATATTGGTTTTCGTATTTTGGTAGGAAATTTAAAATAAATTTCACTTTTAAAACATTGTAAAGGTATTGATTCATTTTTAGAGAATGAAATTCTAGATTCTGGATTCGGTTTCAAAAAAAAAAAGAATTTAATCCAATGAAGGAATTTTTTGTGTAGTTATTAAAATTGGAAATGAAAAATAAACAACGTTTTTTTCATACCTTTGTAAAAGAAAAAACATATTTGATGAAACTTGGCATCTTTCTTGCTATATTTGATTTTTAATCGTAGGCAAACATTCATTAGTGGTAAATATGGGCTTACCCTACTTCAAACTTATTACTCACGGTGGTCTGGTTAAGTAGAGTCTATAAATAAAATTTATGGTCCATTTTGGAACAAGATTTCTGTACTAGACAATCACTAAAATTTATTCAAAGGTAAATGTGCCAAAAGTTGGTTTCCAAAGTTTGATAGCTCAAAAGATCTTGATAAAATGAACTATTTTTTTTTATTATCACAAAACTTTACTGTAAAAATTCTCGTTGATGAACAATGAATGAATTCAAGTGGAATTTACCAGAAAAGCATAGAAAGCATTTATTTTACACTTCAATATTATGAGCTATTTCAACGGCTTTCAATAGCTCAAGCACAATTGATGTTACTGGTGGTCACTTTGATGATAAAAATTTTAGCTAAATCAGCAGAATTGTTCCTAAGTTTATCTTCTAAGAACCAGAAGACTCACAACTTGATAAAAATATAATAATCCTCTAGATAATGTACAAAAATTCCAGTCATTCAACTTCATTCTCCTATAAATAACATCTTTTAATCAATTCCTCAAATTTCATCACTCTTTAGTTAATATTCACCTTCAAAAAATAAAACAAATTCCAGTGAAGTATTGAAAATAAGATAAAATCATTGGCAAAAATGTACATGAAAATAACTCATCCATGGATAGGTGCACAATTCTCTCTGCAATATGAATAAATTTAAAATTTAGGTGACGGTGTTTACATTTCCCCTGGTGCATTGTTTACTCGTGAAACATTTGTTGATGAGCATGCAGACAAAAATACCCAGGAGATAAGACCATGTCAAGCTTGCATATGTCCTGCATATAATCAGGAATTGCTAATTACATCCGATGCAAATGATTGTCTTTTTTTGAGGTTGCACGAAAAGAAGGGAAAGCGAGAGGAAGGTGAGGGTATAGTGGAAATAGCGGAACACCGGACATCCGTATTGTATGGGTCATCCAGTGGTTTTCGTTCTTTTACATGTGATGGATTCGCGTGTTAAACATCGCTCATATTATTGGAGTATCTATGGTATACGCAATGCTTGGGTGCACTCATCAACGAACCTCTTCGTGTTTTGCACTCATTGCTTAGTCGTTTTACATTCATGTGAATATTTAACATCGATGCCAACGCGTAAACAAAACAAGTAGTTGTTTAACGTGAGAGATTTACTAAAGCATATGTAGTACATCGTTCGACATTTGTACTGGAAAACGCGCTGCATTGGGCATCAAGTGAAAGAGAACTGAATAATTAATGTATTCAATTAATAATTTTCTGGAATAATGTCCAGCTAATTCAGATTATTTCATTGTTTAAAATTATTCCAGTTAAGAACATGCTTTACTGATAATTATGTGCTAAATCTATGTGGACTGGCTTCATAATCAAATGTTGAGTTGTTGTTATTATTAATTTATTCTATGTGTCTGTGAAAATTAATTGTTTAATTATTCATTGATTAATTAATGATAATTTCATTCTCTGGTGATGAAAGTAATAAGAACCTATTTTTTATTACTATTAATTAAATTTAATTCTATTTTGAGATCAAAGAATTTAAATTAAAAGTTTATAATTATTTCATGTTTATAATCCAAATTCAACCGGAAGATTTTAAAAATATATCTCGTTAAAAAGTTGTTGTGATATCTTGAACTTTGCCAATAATTTTTACACTTCTGTCATAACTTTCTTAACAAAAAATTACTTTTTTTTTTTTTAATATACCTTTTTTGTGTTGAAATATTTTTAGTTTTTGAGCTGGAAGAAATTAATTTCTGAATTATAATTAATAATAACAACTATAGTAAGAAGAAAAATGTTTTGTGTGAAAAGTGTTTATTGCCAAGTGACTATGGAGTTCGAAGATTCCGAAGAGAATAATAATTTACAATCCTCCGAGAGGTGCGTGATAAGAATTTAGATTCCTTTAATGAGTGTTGTTCAATTACTTCAGATAACAATTACTTAAACGAGTTTTACTCTAATTCACAGATGAACACGTTATCTTTTTTTTATACAAAAGCTCTGGTTTTCTATGTCACGCAATGCTGTCAAGTTACATGCTTCTAGACTGCACTAAACTTTCAACAGTAAAAAAACTAATCGGAAAATTCATTTCATTTTATAGACTTCTCGCTAAGGGAAACAATGTTTTGCTTAAATCTGAAAAAGAAAGTATGTTATTTTGTGGATTCATCCGAGTATAAAAAATACATTAAAAATAATTTATTCATACGCAGGAAAAATTTTTCTCTTTTAATAACTCGAAAGAAATATTTTTTAATATAATTATAATTTTATTATCTAGTGTGAAAAACCTATAAATATTTAAATAAGCAGTAATAATCATTGAATGAATAATTTTTTTTTTTAGCTTAGATAAATATTTTTGAAGGCAAAATTTTTTTGTCAGAGAATACCTCTAGAATTAGGGAGTATATAAAATTATAGGAAAATTTAAATTTTTGATACAGAGGAAATTTTTTGACAACGCAATATCAAGTAGCGATCCGTGACGAATGAGTTGACTTATGCGTACTCTTTACTTTCACGATCGCTAGTCCATGACAAAAATACAACAGTTGCTTCTTCAGCAGCCTTGAATACATCAATGTCTTTTTAAAAATTCCCTGCATGTCTCTCATATTTTCTCTAGAAAATTTAAATGTGCAATGATTGAATAAGATTTTTTTTTTTAACAAATTATTCACTTATTAATGAATAACTAATTTAGGTAACCACTAACAGCTGGCCTTTGAGCAGGACCAATTTCACGATAATGTAATGGGAGAAAATACGATAAAAAATTAGTCTGCACTAAAAGGAAATAATAAAGAGCGAACGGAAATTAAAGGGAAAATATAATAACGATAAAAAAAGGAGCTTTTAATGAGTGGTAATTAAAATGAACCATTGATCTCAATAAATACCAGAAACAAATAAAACATCTGGATATAATCACACTGCGAATTAAATGTTAGCTCATTGTGACTGAATTACAAATCATCAATTAATTAAATCATTATTTTTTTTCTTCTACTTGGAGTTTTAATTTTTTAATTAACTTCAGTAAAAATCTACTCTCTAAAAAATCTCAATGAACTTCAGCCCAGAAAAATTCACTTGAAGCTCAGAGAGCTTTTTCAAAAGTTTAAGTGTTTTTTTTTCTTTTGAAAAACTAAATTATCTTAATTTTCTGAAGAGGATGAAGACCTAATCCTTTAATTCCTGACATTTTTCAAACGTTTTTGTTTTTTACGTAAAACAAATTTAATAAAATTACTAGGAATTTTTTAGAAATTTATCATGCAAAGTGCCTTGCATTTATAACCATTGATGCATAACATTATTCATCATCAAGATATTTGAAAATTTAATATCCTACTTTATACACATCTTATCTAAAATTCGTAAAATTTTAAGATCACTTAAATTCTTTGATTGTTCTACATAAAAAAAACAATATTTCAAACTTTTTTCCTAACATCATAATCATATTATGGAAAGTGAATATTAAAATACGTATTTAGTAACGAGTTATCAATGTAAACACGTAATTTCCGTTTTATATAGTTCTATGTTTGTAAAGTATAAAATTATATACATTTATTTCTCTAACTCTATTCTATGTGCTTCCACTCATGTATGTTTCCACACATTCTAATCAAGTAAACCAGAACAATAACTATTTATTATTATCCGCATTTTAACATTGTTTGTTTTCATTTGTGTGGAAGAAGAAAAGAATTAATCGAGGCCAAGAGTATTTTTTCGTATTATTGATATGATCCCTTCATTCTTCAACATATAGTCCAGTTGACTTCTTTATTATTATACATTTGCCCAAGGTCGATCAAAGTAATAACAATTCTTCAGGATTTGATTCAGGATGTGAATCATTGTTTAAGTCACCTGGCAGTATTTTCCCCACAACTAATGTCTGTTCATGGTGCAGCTGGCAGGTGATATACCTGGGTACGAAAGTCTGAATAGTTGTTGGGGTCTAAATACATATATTCCAGGCTATTCAAAATATCAAGTGGGAATGCGAGCAACTGTTTTTACTGACAAAATTAGTTGCTTCGCTTGGTTTCATTTAAACTCTAAACATCAGTTGGAAGACAAGTTCTATTGGACACGTATCGTTCGTAAAAGTGAGCTTTTATTTGACTTTTTTCTAGTTTTATTGCAATTAAAAGGTTTTTCGATAGTGTTGTGATATGGGATCGATTAAATAACGGAAAAGTGTTTTTTCCTGAGTGCTTTTATCCCCCAACATTGCAAGAATAAAAGGGGAAACAAGGTTGTGGAGAAAGGTACAGTCTGTTTATCTCTTGGATATTATCATTTTACACTTTCTTATCAGAGTGTTTTCTTGTAATTATCATGATAATAATAATTATTTTTATTGTTATTATGATTGTTGAGGAGTTATTGGATGATGTGGTTAGAAATCAATGCCAAGATTTGTCAGCATACAGAGAGATTGATAGGCTACGAGATATGTTTTGTCAGCATCACACGTGCATGCATGAGTAACATGCGAATTTATTGAAACATCTGGATGATTGATTAGACGTTCCCTTTAAACACTTACGTCTTGCTGTTTCGCGTTTGCGTTCCTTCTTCTTCTTTTGTACTCCATTTGCTGGAATGAAAATGAATAAAGCGTGATAAAATGAATTTTAATGCTTCAAACTCTTCAGCCCAAGTTTAGTTTATTATACAAATATTTGAGAGATTGTTGGAAATTTTGAAGTTATTTTTATCAGAAAAAATGAAGTAAATAGACCTCGAAATGGAGATTAGCTTGTTATGGAGAAAATTTATGCAACAATAAAATTTGAATGTCTTCAATGATTATATTTTAAGAATAAAAAAATTTTTGAATGAATATTTTTATTGGTATACAGCCTTATGGAGACAGTTGTTATAAAAAAATTACACTTGGGTTTGAATTAAAATTTTTTTTTTACATTTATTAAATAAATTTACATTTTAACTTTGTCCATATTATCTTGTGGTCTCCATTCTTTCTTTAAATTATGAATAATAATTTTTCTCTCGGGTGCCTGATTTTTTTATTTAAAAACAAATTATCTTTTTTTTCTTAATGTTGAACAAATATTTACAGCTGACGTATTTAAATATATTTATTTAATTAGACCAATTAGAATCCGTATTTTTGTACCTTTTTGTAATTTACACTTTATTTAAAGTAATCTCTAAACAAAAAGCTTGAAATGGAAAATTTTTCTAAAAAAATTAATAAAACTAATTTTGATAAATATTTTTCTTATTACTCCATAATTACTTCCTAAGTAAAAAAATAAATATTTCTCATTATACATTCAGCTAATTTTTTTCACGAGGTGTGAATGCATTATTTGTTTTTCCCTCAATGGAAATGGCCATTTAATAACACTAATAATTAAATAAATTGTCATGCTAAAATTGTACGTGTCAAAAATTTTTAAAAATCTTACCAAAGAATTGGAGGTATTTCATTATTCACGTTGTGCTTATTTATAAAATATTCCAGTGAAAAAAATGAGTCTAATTATTGTTATTTACATCTTGTCAACATCACACAAAAGAAAGATCTTTTCTCTGAGAATTTAAATTGAGTTTAAAAATAAAACATAATGTTTTAAAAGCTTTTTCTCATAATGGTGCGAAGCATAGGCTAAGATTTTTCCTAGATATTTTGTCAAGGACTAAGCCAGATGAAGATTAGGTATGAATTACTTCAAAAAAACTGGAGTAGATAAAAAAACCGTGATGACAAAAATTGCAGTGCTCTAGCTATTTAGCGTTAATTAGTTCAAGAAAATAAATATAGCTTGCTTAACTGCCCAAGCAGATTTGATCTTTTTTTCTGTCTGAGAATTCCTTCACAACCCAGAAAGACGATAAAAGGTATTTCCATCAAATCCACTGTGACAGAATAAAATGTCATTTAGGATTTCTTCATAACTTTTAGTAAAATTTATCGAGTGAAATTAAAGTGAAAAGAAAACCACAGGAAAGCGAGTGTCGTACTCAATAAAAATCTTTGAAGGTTGAGAGGAAGAGAGTAAAGAGTTATTTTTCATGTTTTAATAATAAATAGAACTCTCGAGTAATTGGATATACACCTACATGTAGTACTGACCATACTTTCTTCTTCTCAGATGACAACCAACTCTTATATATGAATCGATTGACTACGTCCATAATCACATATTGAGGGCAAGTCAAGTCAGGCATGATAATTGGTGGGAAAAATTATGTGATGACTTAAGAAGAGCAGTCTTTGAAAAATCCAGCTCAAAATGTTAGAGGCTTTGAAGGTCTTAAAGAGCAAAAATCAACTCTATAACTTGATCATTTATGATTTTATTTTTTCTTGTGCTCTTATTATTGATTCATGTCATTTTATTGCTACACTGAAGGTTTTCTTCTTTGAATGCAAAAAGCTTGTTCAAATAATATATATGAAACAACGTGACAGGATTCAAATTGAATGTCAAAATAACTCGTTTTGCAAACCAATTATGAAAAGACTTACTAGCAAGCACTTATTCTTACCACCTTGCAACTTCTGAAATTTTCTTAAGCTTTCAGCTGAGTCGACGAGAAAATACTATAGTTATTACATGTAATAGTCTTGCTAAAAGATATATTTGAGAATGAACATGGACATTATATTGTCCTAAGTGTTAAGTGGACACAGAGAAGAGTCACGGTTTCACGAGCGTAAGTCGTTTCTAATTTAAATTAACTAGATTTACTTGCGTTTAAATTATAAAAAGAAAAAATAATTGTTATGTTATGCTTCAGACGTTGAAAACCTTGACATACGACAACTTCGTAATTAGGATAAAGAAATCTCAAATTTTTAAATTACTTCTTTTTTCATTTTTTTGCTGTTTCCCATTATTTTTATTCTACGAAAAACTTTTCTCTTAAATTACCTCAAATGTCTGCCATTTTTTCCATAATTTTTAATTATAAAAAAAATTATTCAACTACAAATATTTGAAACATTTTTTCCCTTCAACTGATTATATAAGTAATTAATTAAATCAAATTATTTCTGACATTAATTTTAATTTGTTCTCTAACGATCTGTAACTTATAGAGCAAGAAGATCCTAGAGAAAGTCAGTGAAGACATTTAATGTCAACCTAGGCTAACAAATTTTTTATTGTTTAAATGAATTTAATTTTAAAAGTTCTATTGTTCTAAATTATTCAGCACTTTTTGCTTAAAATAATTTCAAAACTAAAAACAGAAGAGTAAGGAAAGTACGATTAAATAATTGAGAACTCATAAATCAAAAGTTGGAAACACAATCAGCCAACCCACTTATTGTCAAACGAAGCTGATAAATTCGATAGTTTAAAATCAATTGGAGTCACGATAAACCCAATAATTTATCCTCATGATCATGAACAATTGAAAAAATCCAACAGATTTATTGTTCGAAATCGTCTGGAATATTTCTTATTTTAAATGATTACATAAATAAATCAGAATAACAGGAAGCCAAGTCGATTAGAGTAGGTTTTCAGTATTGAATTGAATTCACAATTTAATGGTTTGATATGCTTGAGAAAAATAAGCCATTATTAAGCAAGAAAAAAAGTCTTGTAGCACATTTATTTTTAAAGCATTGATAATTTTTTGGATCAATTGAAGTCATGAGTCCCAAGATCAGAGTGACGTCATTGTAAGTTTATGCAGACCTCCAATGAGCCCACTGCTCCCACTACAGTTTTAACTGTGGATTGACGGGGAAGTCGAGGTACACCTCGACCTAGGAGGCCACCGTACAAGCAACCAACACTTTCGTTGAAACATACAGACGTCGAGAGACAGGTGTGCTTAATCATCAACCAGTAATCCACCTAATGTATAATAGATTGGCTCAACAAATTTGTCTGATATTAACATAATCTTGAGTCCAACTACTTAGTGAAAGAGATTTAAATGGAACAGTTGTTTAATCAAAGTGTTTAAGTTTGTTTAAATAAAAGAAAAAAAGTATTTTCGTGTTCTTCAATACGTTTGTTTTATATATTCGGTGAGTAACAAAACAATAGAAAAGCTTTTATATGTCATGTTTTGTTTTTTTTTTTGCATTGATTTGCACTAAAGCTCTCAAGTCTCTATAAAGAGTTGCGTTATTTTGCGATACGAAATCGAAGATTCCATCCTTTTACTCTAAAACCAATATTATCCATTGTCTATGTTTTTTTTTTTATTTCTTAATTTTTTCCTTTGATCTCACAATACTATTTTCTCTCCAAACGGAATAAAATGCATGGAAATTCATCCGGAAAAAGCTTATTGATTTTTTGGAGTCACTTTTAATCTCATTCAATCTTCTTTTACAAATTTTTCTGTTCTGGCATTTTTTTACGATGGTTTTATCAGATCTATTATTTCTTTTTATTATCTGTGTATTTTATTTTCAATAAACTCGAAGATTACCATCATAAAAAATAAAGATTCCTCTAAATCCTAGTTGTATAAATCATAAATATCTGAGAATTTAGACACAGCAGGAAATAGAGACTAATATAACACCAATATATGATGAAGAATAAAAAGAGCAAGACAATACGAATCTTGAATAAATTTTTTGTTCTTGGCTTTATAAATTTATGAGGACTTTGGTCTAAAAGGCCTTCCAAAGTGCATAAAACGGAACGGTTCGAAGGTTATTGCGAGGCAAAGATAGACTTTGTCAGAAGACTGATGTTTTGTACATTGGCAAGCATCAGTTGCTCATACTGCGGAACTTCTTCCGGCCTGGGTCATAGGATATTCTTGTCCTGTTCCCAGGTGAATAAAAAAGACATACGTCTACTGTCCCGTTCGATTGCACCTGAAGAAAATAAATAATCGTTAGCCAATGAGTCTCGTCTGCTTTCCCAACGGAAGTTAATTGAAAAAACTGATATTAACGATTGATTACTAACATATGAGTGTGATAAGAATTATGATATCAGTAATTACTGTAAAATAACCAACTCCAATGACCCTTACATCCAATTTTCCGCTTGATTGACGGCTCAATTATCTCTCTCTCTCTCTTGATGTGATAAAAATACCATTAAGGACAACAATGAATAACATTTTGTAAAAAATTCTAAGTCAGGGTAATGATGATAATTGTTCTTGTGTAATGAATTAGAAACATTGTTATATATCGACTTGTTATTTAAATTAACTGTGTTCAATAAGAAATATTTTTATTTATTGGTTGGATTTATTTATGTATTTATTCAAAAATATTGCTGGTGATTATGAATTACGCGAATCACTGGATAAATTTATAGTTGAGATAAAGCGAATAATCGAGGTTTTAATTTTAAATGGAAATGTAATCGTGGGCTGGAATATTTTGTTTACTTTACTATTAACGATTATTAATTTTTTTACTGTGAAACATGTGTTGTTAAATGGATTAGTGATTGCAACAATAAAATTAAATCCTGCTATAAAATTCACTTCAATACATTAACCATGTTTATTCAATAATGTTTTAATTTATTTAAAATTGAATTTAAAAAAAAAGCCCAAACTTTTTTCTTTGTCTTTTTTTTTTATTGTCTTTCAGGTGTGATAATAATCTGATAATTATTTATGTAAATAATTCCTCCTACAAAAAGCATGTAATGATTCGTTTGTTTTTCTACCGCGCTCTTGTATTTGCAACTGAAAGAGAAATGAGTGCAGTGACGAAAGAGATCACGTATCACTAACTTGTTCCTCCTCGTCCGATGTCCGAAAGACGAATTACAATGTAACGCACGTCTAAGTTACGTAACGAATCGTTTTGCCCCAGAGAAGACAATGAAAACGGATGAAGAGATGTCGGGCTTTCTTCAAAGGTTCTTCATTATATGAGAGATCCATTTGGTCTTTCAATTAGCTTGTGACTTTTTTTTTTTTAATTTTTCTTTGTTCCTTCCTCAACTTCCGTCTCACTGCGTATTTTGCGGGGAAAAAGTTAAAAGCAATGTAGCGACTTTCCGTCGATCCAAGTTTCAGACAAGTACGCTCCATTGGGAACACAGGTTGAGGGATTTAGGGGGATTTGTTCATCAGGGAGTTGTGGAATAGAGTTGATAGTAACTTAGTCTATTCTAACCACATAACCATTGTCGTCATTCAACAACCATATCATCTTTTTATCTACAATATATTAGCTTATGTTAATTCTTTTTTTAATTTAGTGAATAATAATGTTATATTATCATGATCCTCGATATAATCTTCAAGTTCAATTATATCCCAACTCGACCATCATTACGCAAGCATATTTCATTCATAGAAGTTATTTTTATCTGATACTTGGACAGAACATGAATTTTTTATATTAAATCCCAAGGCTTTAAAAAAGTTGGTACAATATTTTTGTCACGAATTTTTTTAAACTTTCCAAAATAAAACATAAATCAATCGTTTTAAAAAAGTCTTATTTGGAGGGTAAAACAAGTTTATAACTCGAGTTTGGAGGTATTATTGTGTTATGATTTTCAGTTCGTTAGTTTTATATTTGTCTACAGATTTTCTCGAAAATCGATAAAGCTTCATTTACTATCTCGCCGACAGTTTGATTGAACTTAAATAGATTTTGTACGTCTACAGATTAATAATTAGATCCTCTCAACCAGCTATTTTACTGTTATATCCGGCAATCCAATTCTTGTGATGATTGAAAAAAAAATTTTTAATCCAAGAAATGAAAATTTATTTTTAACTTATTAAAAAAAATATTATTTATTATTTTTCTCTTTGAAAAAACAACGTGAGGGAAATATTAATTAATAAAAATATTTCGTAATACAATAGAGCTAAAAAAAATATGTTTGACCAAACACGTAGACTGATTATGACTTTTTTGATGAATAAAATTTGTATCGCAATAATTTTTGATCATGAATTTAATACGCCTTTAAAATTGAATCAACTGGCAATTTGAAACGAAGGTGGTTAAAACCTTGAACAATTTTTTTTTTACGGTTGCATTCGTTTACTACACGAGAGAAACCGTGACGCGTGACAAACGCGCGGGTCAATTCATTGTCGTGATTACGTAAAATATGCGGGACCGTCTTGTGCGTTTTAAGTGTTCTTATCAAGATGTAACTTATTTATTCCTGAAAATGGTGGTAATGTTCGTGATTTTTTCACTTTTGTTTAAATATTCACAGAGAGGCAGCAGCAGCGCGTTGTGAAACTCAAGGACTAAGCAACCAGGACCGAAGAAAATTGTTAAAGAGAACTCGAAGCCTGGCAGTAATATCAGAAGACCTTTCAAGAAGTGACGCGGATAATCAAAACTATCATTTCAGTGATTCTCCTCTCTCTAATCCCAGAAGACCACAGCTCATTCCTCGAGCCAAGTTAATCGACAGGAACTCTTTGAAAGACAGGTGAGTATCGACCTTCATGATTATTGAATGGTTGCAAAATTAATTGATGGTATTACGCCATACCATTATTCTAGGTTATCGAAGAGTCAACAACATCTTTCAGAACCTCACGATAGATTCAACGAGTCGAGAGCCTATCACTCTCACTCAACGTGTGATCTTTATTCAATACCTCCTCATTCTTACTTTCAAGAGATCCCTCCTTTCAATCGTAGCGAAAGTCGCATTGATCCCGATCGTTTGAATATTCTGAATTGGCCACGAACTCCAAGAAGATACAAAAGTCATCAGGATCTTGATACCGTCAGCGGACTTGTGGATATTGTTGAAGATACTTGGCCTTTAGAGGAGAATCATCAGACATACGATATTTATACTCAGGTATTCATTTATTTATTTATTTTTTTTTTACTTGAAACAAACAATATCTCGATTAAGAAAGTGGAATTTTATTTTTCTGTTAAAACAAAGCTCATGGTTTTTTATCGAAGAAAAGATAGTCATTTCTATTGAATGATCATTGGAATTTATTGTTTAGACATCTAGATTAATCCCTGGGTTCATAATTCACCTTCCATTTTCCTTCGATAAATAATTGATTAAGAGTCAAAAGAGATAAGAAACTTGGTGTTACACTTTTCTTTTTTCTGTTTAATAGTCCTTTCTAATTCAATGTATAAATATTTCATTAGTCGAAACTATTTCTTCTTTTTTTTACTGATGCATTTGGATAGATTAATTTTTTAAATTAATAAAAAAAAATTATTTTTCATTTTATAACGAATGTTTTAATTTTGTCTGTAATTGTTATTTCAATTAAATGAGCATGAACTTCTTTTTTTCGCAAATCAAGGAACTTTATATTTTCAGTATGAATTTCCATTTTATTTTTCGTAAATTGACAAAGTTTCGAGTAGACTTTGAAAATGTCAATAATGAAGTCTTTTTCATTTTTAGTTCATTATCACTCAACTCTTCTATCATTTCTTTTATTTACTTTATTTAACCTTCAATTTTTTCACTTTTTTTTTGCTTTTCATCATCTCTTATTAAAATTCGCCTTCATTTTATCCCGGAACATTCTATTGAATATTAACAAGTTTTCCTTTTTTTTTTGCAAGCCATCTATGATGATTTAACAATACAATTCTATCAAATTTTCATGCCATTTTTTATTCATTTTACTTGTTGATAAGGTCTAGACTCTAGAGTCATGTCTTCAGTAAAAAATTTTCTCTCTCTGGGTGACTGTTTTACTTCTTGCAATGTTACCACTGGCACATAAGGATATGGGGAAAAAGTTGAAAGAGAATAGAAACGTTGCCGCATTGCGCATATCTTATCATACCATAGTTTAAGTAAAGTTACTATATGTTGAATAATATAATTATGTATATTTCATTCAGGTCAAGCGCAAGCGCAAGAAGCATAGAAGCTTAGATAGCATCTTATTTGAAGATGAAGGAGAACTTGAATATTTTGATGTTCTAAATCTTTTGCCATTATCCAAAGTACGCCTTGAGATTGATGAAGTTGATGTACACAACAACTATCCCACAAGTAAACACAATAAAGACAGTTTACTACCGACAAATATTGACACTTTATCTACAGGCGACAATGATGATACATCTATAGGAGGAGAATCAGAATTGCGACATACTCCAAGAATTTTACAGGTATCTGAGTTCTCTGATGACAATCAAGATAACTCACTGCACTTTGGAAGCAACGTAACAGACGAAGAGAAATGTAAAAGTCATTCAATTTACGAAGAAACTGAAAAATCACGTGAGAAAAGTCATTCGGATGAGAATTCCTGGAAAAGTCTTGTCTCTTCGTCAAATAAAAGTCTTTGGGACGTTGAATCGCTTGAAGAATCCTTGAAATCTCCGGAGAAAGAACAGGAACAAGTGGAAACAGAAGCTGAGAACACAAACAATTCAATTCAAGAGACAACCAAGTGTCTTGATGCTAATCATAAAAAGAAATCAACAGAATCGAAATTGAACGGTGTTGGTGATACTGAGATAAAGGAAGTTAAGGAAATTGAACAAGTTGAAGATTACAAATCTATCTGGGTTTCAGATACAGATGAAATTGAAGATATGTCGAGAAGACCGCAGGTGTTAAAAATAGTGGATAATGAAGTCACTCGAAGATGCAGTCGTGGTCCAAGTGTTGTTGAGATTGATATTGTAGCACAGGATATGGTGAAGAGTAAAGATACCAATGATGAAGTCCTGGCAAAAAAAGATACCACAGTAGATCCATTAATCAGATCGCAAAGTCCAGAGATTAAAAAGGAAATTGAAGTGGTGAGTTATCAAAGATTTTATCTAGGATTTTTAACGCCATTGTAAAAAAAATAGGCATGGGAAATAAGAGTTTACATTTTTTTTATATTTTAATCCAGCAGAGAATATAGTTACGATATAAAGCATTGTTTTATTCTTGATGAATACATGAAATACAATAGGGAGGGATGAATAGTCATAATTTCCTAGAATTTTAAATAAAAAAATTTTCAAGTTAAAAATAATTCATGTTGTTAAAAATTTTTTAATTAAATTTTTTGTTAGAAATAATTCATATAGAATGTCGAGTATTTTTCAAACGATAACATAAATCTCTTTATTTATGAAAATATTTCGAATATTTTATTAAATTTACTTGATTATAATGCCAATCAAATTAAACATATTTCACATTCCTGAAATAATATTATCAACATGATAATTTAAAGTAGAATTTATCATACTCAATGTATTAGTCTTTGTGTTAAAACAGCATGGAAATGACTTTATAATAGGAAAAAAAAAGATTATGTAATAGAGAAAAATAATAAAAAAATGATTACAAAATTCTTGCAAAATATATTAGAAAATTGTTGTGGTTACTTTAACCTGGAAAATATGCTAAATACCAACGAATTATATTTACAATGTAATGGCAGCTTTAAATCTTTTTTATAACTGTAATTTAATTTGCATTTAGGAGAGAAGCCAAGAATGCAAAAGATCGAGCATTGAGAGTGCACGAAACTTTTTCGAAGCCAAGAGTTTAGGAACAGAATCCATCAAAAATCAACAAAACGAAGGACCATTCGAGAGGATTGTTAAAGAAACCACCAATATAATTGGAAAGGCTTGTAATGCAGTAAAAGGAAGCCTTGGATTTGAAGCTCGTTCTGAGAGTTCTGATCTTGGTCTAGGATCTGATTGTGGAAGTGATACGAGGAGAAGATCGATTGATGATGGCGACGAGGTTGATACTAATGAAGACGTTACTGTTAGTGTGACAGAAAAAACGTCTGCTAATGAAATTAATGATAGTTACTTAAAACCACCCAAATCTAACTTGACAAGATCTCACAGCTGTGTTGATTCCATTGAATGCCAGGGAACTGATGGACCAGAATTTGATCACATTCGTTACAAGATCGTGAAATCAAGACTCTTTGGTAAAAATATATTCAGCAATGCTCCAGGCAAAGGTGATCCTGGATATGATGGTCTTATGCAATATCTGAGAGAATATTCTTTCCAAGAGCTTTTGCTTGATAATAATGTCGTTATTATCGAGCCTGTACGCGCTGAGCCAGTGGAAACAAAGAACGTCTCATTGCAGAATAATAAAAACAAGACAACGTTATCTAGAGGGAATAGTATTGTTCAAAAGAAAGCGAAAAGTGAATCAGATCAAAATGACAGCAAGACAACAAATGAAACAGCAAAGAGTCCAAAGCAATCTTCATTGAGAAAACACTTCTTTTATCATCCAATTAGGTAAAAAGTTAATTCATTTATTTTAAGAGATTATTCACTTGTTAATTAAACGTTAATTAACGAATACTTAGTTCGGTTAACAGGGTAAATAAAGAACTTATTGATGAAGAGCTGCCAGACCCTGATACGGTGAGAAATGTTCGCAGAATGTTTGAAGCTACTTTACGTCCAAAGAATTCCTCAGATACTAGTGATTCCAAAGATCGAAAAAGCGTGAGCATGAAAGACTTGAGACGTATTGAAGACCGACAAATGGATGATGTCAATGAAAGAAGTTTTGAAACATCCAGGTAACGAGATGAATTTATTTGAAAATTTTCTTTTCGTATGTAATTGAAAAAGAGTTACACGAAGTTCTTTCACGAATCATTCAAAAATGGTTTTAAAAGAATCTTTCCTTCTTTTGAAAGTAGTTTGAGGATATTTATATTCCGTGCAGATCTTCCTATTTTATGATACTTGTTAAAAATTACTAAGCTGTCTCATTGCAAGAGTAAGAAAAATATGTATAGGAATTCTTTTGAGAATTTTTAAAATTGGAAAAGTAGTTGACTAAAACAGAAATTGAAGCTTGTATAGAACTTAAATTACCATATGAGAATTTATTTAGAATTTATATATTTCATTATTACAACCAGGAGACATTCCTTTTATCAATTCTTTTTTCATTTTAGATTCAGATGTTCAAGTCGAGCAAAAGATCTAACTAAACTCTTTGAGGGTCTTGATAAAACGACATCTACAAATGCTCCAAATTCAAAAGAAGATCTTGGAAATTTAAAAAGCGACTCTAAAACGAGAATCCTAGCACAATCGTTTGAAGCACGAAGTGGAAATACATCGCCAAGTGATTCTGAATATAGTAGGAATAAAAATTCTACTTACAGACAGTCAAATCACCGGCAACGTCAGCAAAGCTGTTGGGATGCGGGAAGTGTAAGCTCTGGTGTTTCTAGTGATTATCCTGACACTGATCCAGGAAGTGGTGTTCAGTGTACATCATCAGAGGATGAGGAAATTGATTGCAGAGATGATGATGCTGATCGAAATAATGAACAAGTTCATGGACACTTTGTTTCACAAGACGTGTTGGAGAGAATTCGCGAATGTGGAACCTCTGTTACCTATTACGGTGGAAAAGTTGTTAACACGTGTAATGGACCTCTTATCTCTCCTATGAGTACTAAACTCAAAAGGAGTGAGCGCTTAGTTGAACTTGACGACTATGTCAAGTTTCGTTTAGTAAAGAGCAACTCTTGTGACAGCAGACTAGAATTAACTGGGAGAGTTGTTGAGAGACGGTCTAAAATAGAAGCTAGAGAACATTTATCCAATAACGAAAGCAAGAGGAAATCAGATTTGCGAGCTTGTACTATAGCGGAAACACCTAGCATCGAAATCACTGATCTAGAAAGCTTGAGATTCGAAGATGAACGACAGGCAAGCGACGAGACAACGGCAAGCAAACGTGAGCCTCCTGTCGTGATAGGTCTAGAACCAAAGAAAGAAGAAAATCGTGATCAGAGTGCTTTTAAAGCAAACTTCCAACTTGGCAAAGTTGACAATACCAAGTCAAATATACCCCATGGATTTGGTAGTGCTCTGACACGATGGCAAATAAATGAAGGGAATTGGAATAAAAAGCAAACAGAATTTGGAAAAATGGAGTTTGAAGAATTTGAAGTCCTTGAAGATAGCTTGAATGGCATAAATAACTGATAAAAATTTATATTTTTCTTAGAACTGCTAGTGCGATAAAACGATGTTAGTTTTATCAGTATACTTTTTATAATTTTATCTAAAAAAAAGTATTAAAGAAAACTAACATTGCTTGAAAAAATATTGATTACAGAAATTATTAATAAAATAAAAACTATTCAAAGCTCCGATAATATAATTAATCATACAGAATATATTTTTTGTTTTTTAAACATCATTTATCATGGTGAAAAATTTTAACTGTAAGATTGAATATATTCAGAGCAGAAAGTCAATTGTAGCCAATGGTCAGTGAACATAAATTTAGATTTATTCTCTTTGATGTAATTAAGCTAGTTTATTGAATTGATAAGTTACTCTCAGCAATTTATTCATGTAATAAATGAGTAAGATGAGATTATATCTTACAGTAAATGTACATTAAAAATCCTCAAACAAACTTTAGCATGAATAACTCTTCGAAATATCTGTTTTTTTAAAATAGAAATACCTAATTTCATCAAATATATATTTTCTTTATAAATTAATATTCGTTATTTATAGTATTATGAATGAAAATAAATATTATATTAGTCATACATAAATGTCGGTAAACTAATTTTATAAAAGTTTTTAAATCTACTGTTTGAAAGTTTCTGAGTTCTATATGTAAATGTTGCTATTTAATTTTCTACCAAGGATATATCTCAAATTAAATTGTGAGTCCTGTATATCTCACATGAAATTCTAAGTCTACTCTTGCAATTATTTTGTAGTAGACTATTATTTTGTTGGTAATGTAACAAGTATTTTTTGTCGTTTTATTATAGATCTCAGTTTTATGCTTTGACACTCACTTTATATATTTTCAAATTATTTTTTTAAGATAAGATCTGTCGACCTAGTCAGCAATAATAATGATATCACCAATGCACTGTCGTATTTTTTTATAAATAAAAATAAAATGAAGATTTTCTGGTCTTACGTGATAAAGAAAAGATTGCTTGGTAATCTTGAAGGATTGATGTGAGTCATTCGATGCTGTATTCTTTGATCGATCCGATACAATGGAGAAGAATGTAAATATTTATTTACTTTATCGAAAATTTATTGTCTTCTGTTTTAGTTTATTTTCTTATTTAATGGTTGTTTCATACTAGCATTTCATACTAAATTCGCTCTCATTTTTTTTCATTAACTGTGTACTTTCATGAGAAAAGTCTAAATTTGAGTTATTAAAGAATAAAACATGAAAAGGTAAAGCAGTTTTTTTATTTAAAATGCATTTCAATTTTCATTTTAAAATGAAATTGTTGAAAGAAATTACTCAAAATTAATGAGCACTTGTTTGAAGTTACTATTAACTAGGAATTAATGAGAGCTAGGAATTCAAGTGCTTAAAATAAGCTCCTATACTTACTTATATATTTGAATAACTCAAGCATGAATTCCTGTAGTACTAATTATCGTAGCAAAATTAATTCATAGAAATTCAAACTTACGCGCAAAAGTTGTACTGTCAGCTTCATTACTGTCGTTTCCATTCAGTGAATCCTTTATACTTCTTTTGTGTTTTGTATCCTTCATATCTTTTTGTTCTTTACTGAGGATAGGACTGATTGTTGGAGCAAATGTTCCTCTTGTTGTTGACAGTCCACGTTGCGATATACTCCACCATCGTCTGCACCACGTTTCCTACAAACAAGATCAAATTCGGTTCAATGAAGCTTAATGGTAAGTGTGATTGGATTAGCATACCAGTTTCTAAGTTTTAATGAAGTAATTTCTAAATCATTACAAACTAATATAGAAAATCTAATTAATTTATATTAACTTTACAGATGTTGGTTTAGGACTCTTCAAGTTGATCTTTTCACTATCATTTTATCTAAATATTGTGTTTGTAATTCAAACTTAGTATGTCAAAGTTGATTAGATCCTTTTATGCATTAGCTTAAAATTTGTTGATGTGGGTCTAGATATTTCTAAAACTTGTGCGGGAATAATGATTAAAATAAATTGTATATAAACTAAACTATTTTATGCATGTAAATTTATGCATCGATGCAAAATATTTTTTTTCTTCATTTTAGGGTTCAAAAAATTATTATTTTTCCTTTTTTAAGAGCTATGTTTCATTTAATAAAAATTTTGACATACTCTTTTTTGTTGGGAGAATGATCTAATTTGTGATTGAGCAATATTTTAAGTTCATAAAAATTATCATTTGCATAACAAATTATTGAATAAATAAATAATTTCATAAATGTTAATTTATTCCAAACAATGTCTACATTAAATAAATAACTCGATGTTACATTCCAACTGAACACAATATTCTAAAATTTATTTAACTGACTTAATGCTCTTAAGATTTCCTTCGTGAATCATCATTTGTTCACATTTAGACTTATCTAATCCAGTAAGTGTGTGAAAAAATAAAATGTAAATTTTTTTTAAATAAACAGCAATATTACAAGTGTTCTAATGCAATATTTGCTATAGTGTTTTTTTAACTTTTTTATTAAGTACAAAGATGAATTTATATTAGACTAACAAATTACCTAATAATTCATTTGCAAACTTTTGATTGAGACGACTTTATAACTAAATAAAAATAAAAGTTTATCTTAAAAATAAAGTTTTTGGTTATTATTCAACTTGGAGTGAAACTTTTGCTCCAAAAAGATTTGCTCTGAATATAGAAGAATAACAAACAAACTGCTACTCAACTATTGATGAAATATTTAAAAAAGTTTCAATCAAAAACAGATTTATCACAGCAGATTCTGTGGTCATGTTGGTTTTATTTCCATTCTAGGGTTTCATTTTTCTGTACAACACTAATTCATCATTTCGCAAGGGTTTTGGTTCTCTTGAGTAATATCTTGATATACACGTATCGAGTGCATACACGCGAATGAAGTAAATCGATGATCATATATGAATAACTAACTTGAAAATGAATGTATTCACGTGAACAATTCAATTGAAATTTACACAAAGTTACCAATGCTTTGATAAACTTTTCCACAACCTATCAAATCAATAAATAGCTAAATTTATTTGATTAAATATTTAGAAGAGTTTTAAACTCTTCCTACTAAGTTGAATTCCATTTTATTGTTCTACTTAAATTGTATAAACTCAACCTTGTTATTACCTTTTTATCATTAAAACCAATATTTATTGATACTTAGTTTTTTCTTATGACTAATATTTTTTGTTAATTAAAAAATTCTAAAAATTCTCCAGGAAAAGATTATTATTATTAATGGTTCAATAATTTTGTAAATAAATTTTATTTTTCTGGAGAAAATAAGATATTGTGGTCTAGTAAAAGATGCAGTTAAGTCAAATTAAATTAACTTATATATTATTTCTTAAGTTTTTTAATTATGTAGACTTCTTCATCAATTTACATGAATTGTTAATTCAGACAGAATAATTCGATTGAACAGTTTCCATTATTGGCCAATTAATTTTCGTTGAATTTGAAAAGAATTTCTTATTAAATAGTTATATGGGTCAACTGGATATATTGCACTCGTGCTGCAATTTTTTTCAATAGAGTTGTAATTTGTTGAATTTAAAGGGAACGAATAAAAAATGTACATATCTCGTAATCGCATTACATATAACGTTTTTTTCAATTTAAATTTTTTTTTAAAATTCTTTTGTGAATATTTTTAGAAGATATGACAAATGAAATATATATTGACATCCATTTTTACCATCTATGGTACGTTACGCAAAAGTTTTATGATTTTCAAAAGAAATAAATATGCTAAATTTATCGAGTATTCCAATTTCCCTACACTTGAATAATAATTTCATTTCCATATTCTTATTAATAATATGTATATAAATATAGGAAAATTCCAATAATCGATTCCTCAACATGAAAAATTTGTTAAACAATAAATTATTCACAATTTTACCTTCATTTTAATATTTTGTTGCAAGTTTTACTTTCAAAATAAAATAAGATATAAATTTGTTTTTTTTTTTGTTGAATATTGAAATATGGTAATCACTTTATCTATTGCAGTTAATGAATAGTCTATTGATGACCCAAGCACTTTAATGATTAATTATCAATAACAAAAATCAGCCAGGTAAAACAAAGTCTTAAATTACTGTTATAATAGACTAGAAGACGTATAATTTATGAATCGATATCGGGTAAGTGGATATACACTGCCTGTTGATCAATGTCAAAGAAAACACGAGTTTCAAAAGCTCTCTATCATGAATCTCTTCACCTACTAGAGGGATATACTCATACTTGAGTTCTATGAATACGCATTTCCCATAGGTCATTTGTAATTCCATCGATTCGTATTCCATTTGAAGCCTTTGTAACATAATCCTTGTGGAATGAAAAAAGTTTTATGGTAAAACTAACCAAAAAAGTTATAGTAATGTTATAAGATTTATTTTATTTCGTCGTTGACGCTGGCCAACTGTCAAAATCTATGATCGTAAGGCATAGAAATTTTTCGGGGAACGAGCAAACTCTGGGATATTTGCAAATTTTGGCAAACTTCCAGGTATATGTAGCGTGGTTGTTAATAATGTTTTATTTTCGTGTACGTCGTCGTTGAGAAAATACTCATCTCTTTTGCTCTTAAAGTCTTTTCTATTCTATTTAAGAATTCAAAGCATGTGTTCACGATGATGGCACATTGCTGTCAAGTAGCCTATTGACGATGAATATCTAAAGAACATAATCCTGAAATTAAGTGTCATTTCACTTTTCATCTTGTTAATTAAGAGAACGTTGTTTCATCCTGTTGTGCGTTGCTCTGGGAGACAAATTCTCGCTTAAATATCCCAAGAGTATCATCAAAATATTCTCTACTACTAGTTTCTTGAATTCTCGACAGATTTAAATTAAAATATCTCCAATAACTATTTTTTAAATTCAATTCTTTATTAAAATAAAACTCAAAGGAGTTATTTATTTATTATTTACTTTTGAAAGATAAAATTATCAACTGGAAAAATTGATGTTCTTTTTTTTTTAAAAAAATAATGAGAAAGAAGTATGTCAATATTGATTGATTTTGATATTAGCTTTCATATCCTACTATTCAAGACATTCTAAATCGATGCTAAGATTGGAACTTGTTTTGTAAAATACACAAACTATTATATAAATCAAACAAAAAAATCTCAAAGACTTAATATCGATTAAAACGATCAAATAATTATGAATGCAGGAATATTTATTCAGCCAATAGGTCATGGGCACATTGAATCAAGATTAAGCAAGAATTGGTAAAATCTGCATTGGAGAATGGTCTGGAATTGATTGGAGTTTCTGGTTATAGTTGGAAATGTTATACCGACAAAAATAAAAACTGATCCTCTATAGCATTTAGGTCAACCAACGACGAAAATCCTCATGAACAGCTC